AATGCCTTGATTCATTGAACCAGCCACTGAGCATGAGAAAAGAGTGCATACAAGGCCTCTTTGTGGAGCCCAAGTTAGTGACAAGGTCAGAATCCCGACAGAGATTTACCTTCTTTTTTTCTTTATATACAAAACAAGGGCTGTGGCTACTGTCAAGGTACTGTTGGCATGTCTCTCTGTGGAACATATTGAGCCATTAGGCTGCACAGAAAAATGCTTATTACAACTGAATGCTTTGCAAGTGTCAGCAAAACTAAATATCCTCTATTCCCATGCACCCTTTAGTTCTTCAAAGCTTTGATTTCATTTCATGCACTTGAAACTACTGACAATCATTACATGTTTTTTTTAATATTCTTTGTTTTGTGAGGTGCTCTAGAACACAGTGTTTTGTGTTGTCTGCTAGAACACCCTTTACTGTCTGCGGGAACAGATCAAAATTGGACTCGAAACAGGTGCGAAAGGCCCCAGTACGTCCTGATGTGTCTTGGGATCTGATTGCTCAGACCACATTTGGAGATGGTCTGGCCAAATGCGGTCACATTGTTTCAGCAGTGTGTACACTAATATGTACTTGTCTACATTTCCTTCTTAGCTGACATCCTTGATTATCCAACTCTCTGCTGGATAGGCAAACTTTCTCTTGCTGCTGTTACACAGGTTAGACACAGTGCTGAATATTCAGGGTCTGCCAGGTCAGCACAAGCTAACACCGCAGCAGGTGGTCCCAACAAACCCACACTGTTGACTCTAACATTAAATACAGTAATAACCATTAAGTAATGTAAGCCGTGTGAAGCTGTCACTTTCTGTGTGCGGATGGATTTTTGGACTCCCATCAACTATCCCCCGTAGGGTTAGGTACCGAAACTCGGTACTTTTTGTACTTGGTACCGATTCACTTAAAATGAATCAGTACCAAATTTCGGTACCTGAGGTGGAGGTGGAGGCGGAGCGAGAGCACATGACTCGCTCCTCAGACTCAGCAACATTGGTGACAAAAAAAATGTGCAGACAAAAGTTAACATGCAGCACTGTTCCTAAATGTTCTCAATAAAATGTTGAAACTGAGAAGTTTAGACTATGGGCCCGAACAACGCATAGTGCAATCCATTGTTTTCACAGCGAAAAAATTGATCAAGTTTCAATAAAATGATGTATAACAGAGCTTTCATACAGCTTTGCACACACATTACTGTTGGATGGATTACTCGAGAACGCAGGCTCGCACAGAAATGCCACGCATATCACATGAAAGTGCAGGACCACACACATCATTGTGCTGTCATCACATCACGCTATAAATACAGATAAATTGTCTACAAAATAAAAACCTGACAAATTTCTTTACAATCCATTATACAGAATTTGTTATCAGTCACTTCATATAGTGAGGAATATCGTATCTTACCACATCTTAAGCTTGCGTGTGTTTCTCCCTGTCTATCCACACTTGTAGTATGCAAATATCTCCATATTGTCCAGTTCCATCAAACTTTGTATGACAAGACAAGCGCACTTCACCTTTGCGCACCCAGACAACTGCAGCCTAATGCATGCTGACAAGGCCGTAGTCACCATATACATTGAGGGGGACACGTGCCCCCCCACCAATGCCCAAAATGTCCCCCCAATATATAACTGAAACTGAAAAACAAATATTATCTTGGAGGACATCATTGCACTTGGTTGACTATTTTTCTATGATCTTAGATGTAAATATTGCATGTTTCTTTCAGATGAAACACATTTTTGACTTGTGAATGAGTCAATGGAATTTCTTGCAATAATGAAAAAATACTGGCAATCATGTCCGCCTGGCACAAACCACATGTTTTGGACAACTGTGAAGTGACAGAATGTCCCAGCATCATGGTTCTTATATTGCCAGATTCAAGAGAGTCTCCCCTCTTCGTATATGGCAGAATATGTCAACTTCCAACTTGCTATGGTGAGATACATGTAAAAATGTAAGAATTTAGGCACACAAATTTGTTTTTTTCATTGATATAAAAATTAATATAAAATACAGGCACATAGAAGGACATGAAATGATGGCAAATCTGGTTAGCCCAGATTGTCCTGAAAAACAAAACAAGATATAGCATGTGTATGTAGCCTTTATAGTGAATGTGATATGAGCTTAAAAGTAAAGGCAGTAAAAATACCCCAAAAAGGCCTAGGGCCCATAGGGTTAAGAAGTACCGAAATAAGGTACTGTTTGGTACCGGTACCGAATTCCAGATACCGGTACCGTATCGGTTCAGTTATGAACGGTACCCAACCCTAATCCCCCGCATGAAGTTCACACTCCTGCAGCAGAAGTCTCCTGTGATGGTAAATGAAATGATAAGGGCTACATGTTTATTTGCATATAGAGCGGTCGAAGTGAGATCCAATCAAAAGTGGTCACTGGACATGAATGTGGACATGTATTCTAATGTCAGGTGTGAACAGACAGATTTAGAGCTGTCCGCTTGTGATCAGATGACCCAAAAAGCATGGGTGTAAACAGGCTCTTTCTCTATGGGACAACAGTGCCAGTGGGCTACTGGGCCCCCTGGAACATATTCAATCAATCAATCAATCAATCAATTTTATTTATAAAGCCCAATATCACAAATCACAATTTGCCTCACAGGGCTTTACAGCATACGACATCCCTCTGTCCTATTCAGTCCAATATTCAGAGGCTGTTTGCCAAAGATAAAACTGAAAGTCAGGGATCGCCTTAACACCTGCTTCGTCGTCAAAAAGCTTTCATTTTCAGTGGAGAAGAAAATGGGTACGTGTGGTGTCTGTCCTGTGTTGCTAGACATATCAAGCCATACACAATCTTCTGTTTGGTTTCCTTCAATTCAGCTGTTAGCACTGTTTGATTAGAGGGAGTTGATTACTCGAAGTGTGGATATGTACTGTGCTGTATGCCATCTCTGTTGGCTGTGACAGACCCTCGTAATCCTCTTGCCTTCTGTGGCTCACACACGGTGAGAGCCTTTGGACGTTTGTTGGCCTTGTTTTTCTGATTGTGACTTCCTGTGGATTTTCCTTGACCTGCCCTCTGTGTCATCTTCGCACTCTGAGTTGGTAGGTGTGAGACTTCACTGAAAAAGACTATGCCTGGAAAAACAATTATTGGAGTGAAACAACTGTAATTATAAGCGTTGCTCTGCTTTATTGTGCTTTTATTAAACATGCATTGTCATCTAAATACCATGTTTAAGATAATTTATTTCAAGCATATGTTGAAACTACAGAGGCACCACTGCATTTGTGAATAGAGCTAAGCCCCTCTGCTATCCTGGGATGATTTCTCAGCACACACCCAACCATTTCATTTGGTATCTGTTACATGATTTAACAGCTCTGATGACATTAGGATCCAATGTCCTATCCACTGCATTGGACTTGTAAGGAGTTTCTGGGGTATTAAGCCAGCTACAGGATATCCTTACTGCTCCGTGCTGCTCACCAAGTCTTACTTAATTCTGTTGGCAGGTTTAGCAGACACCTGAACTAAGCTGTGACAACTTATAAAATTTTTACAGCAGTTGAGATATTGCCAAATATATTACACAACAGATGCCTGTCTTCTGCACTCGCAGCTTGATATTACATTATGAACCCGAGACATGACAAGCTGTTCCTGTTCTCACGTTCGCACTCCGACTCCTCATTTCGAGATTAGAAGAGGTAGAAAAAGAAGCTCGGATGAAGAATTAAACCGTATCTTGACGAGGAACATGATAGACTTTAATCCAAGCCTCGTAAGAGAAACACACTAAGGGCTGAGACAGGTCCTGTGAGGACGCTGTGTGTGTCTGTGTCCTTACATTTGGAAGAGATTTCCACAACCTGTGGCATTTAAATCCCTGTGCTGTTTGGCCACAACAAATTTTGTGCCAGATCCCAGAATTAGCTTTACATGATGAGTCTGTCTCACCCAGAATAGCCAGCATTAGATAATGAAACTAAATTTGGTTTCAATTAGTGGCACCATAAAAGAAACTATATAAACCTATCTAATATAGAAACTTTTTTCAGGTCATGTAGTTCCCCTTGCCTAAACATCCCTCATCCCAAGGCACTGTTAAGAATCCTAGTCAGTTTTTTTCTAAGATGCTGAGGGGAGCGGTATCGTACACATCCACACGAATAAGTTTCATTTTATAACAGTTTTAAAGCAAAGACAATCTGTGCAAACACCAGTGTTTCATCACCTTTTCACAAATAATCTCTGTGGATATTAACAGCCCTGAAAATGCAAATCACATGACCATTTACATACACTGGGCATACACGCGCCAGTGTAAATAGGAAGCAGATTGTATGGCCAGAGATTTTTATGCTTGGACAGACGATGAGGTGGAACTGTTACTGAAAGCAACACGAGCACAAGGCAGCGTTAAACAGATTGAAAGTTGTTGAGTCCCAGGCTAACACACAACCCTGGAGTTTCTAAACTACAACAGGGTCAGCAGCATTTTCAAAGGTCTCTGTTTTAGTGGTTCCAAAACTGCAGAGTAGTGTGGAAGCTAGGCGTAAACTGGCCATAGTCATGCATTTAAAACAAAAATGTATGCGGATGTAGCCTTAGGGTTTGAAGCTGAAGCAGGCTTGTGATAAGGTTGTTGCTTTTTCGGGCCTTATTTCAGTCAGGAAGACCTCTTGATTCGTCCCTGAGCAGGGATTCTGACCCAGATTTCAATTGTTCTAGTAGCACTGTTCTCTAGAAAGCAGTGAAGGAGTAGAGGACTGTTTGTACTGGGTTGCCTCAAGGTGTGAATCTGCATAAATGTGCGAATGTGATGTAGACTGCACCTAAAATACGACTTGCACACTCAGTCGCTGTTGTCTGATAGATACTGACTTAAGAAACAACATATGATGAGGGAGTTTTGGGCATTTTTTATTCCAAATGTAGCCCCTGATGCATAAGTTTTCTATGTAGCATTTATAAATGTTCTCACAGTGAAACTTTGCTTTACTTTGTCTTCCAGGGCTCGAAGCGTCTTCTGAGATCAAATGAGTACGTCCTCCCACCCAGTGGACTGATGGAGACAGATCTGGAGCTCACATTCTCACTACAGGCAAGCACTTTGACATTATGCTGTGAATTCTCACACTGATACAGCAGTTATTGGAGAGGGAGGATTGTGTTATGGCTTTTATGGGCTCTCATGCCCCTTCCTAACCCCGAGCAACAGTGTTAAGCTCAAAATATCCTCGTGTATTTGTACATGTGTGTTTACAGTATTTTGTGTAAATTAAATCAGGCTCTCTTATTTGATATTAGCCTGTGACACATTTTTTTTATGTTATTTTGCAGCCAGAGGAGATGTTAGCTCATAGGAAGTGCTGCTTTTTCTGTTGTTACATTTGGCGGTTTTCCAAGTGCAACCTTACTTCATAGAGAGATGAATCATTACCAAAGTCACTGACACAGAATGACAGAATGTTTCAGATTTGAATTAATAAACACTGCATGCATGCTGACTTTTTGCGGGCTGGAATAGCCAGACAATTACAGAGGTGAGCTTAGCAAGGACAAGTGAACAAGTAATTGAAAATGGACATTAAGTTTCTACATGGAAAAGTTGCACATTTTACCAAAAAGGGCAAAATCTGAAGCAAAAATGCCCGGCTGAAATCACTGTGCTGATCACTAAAGCCTAGTAAGTGTGGGCAGTATCCGACATGGATATTGCAGCAGTGAGTGTCAACCGACTTGTGAAACCGGATCTCACAAGTTATAATTGTGTGAATATTATAGACTGAGAAGGTGAGAAAAATAAATGTAAAGATAAGGTTCTGGCAGCCAGAGACAATATGACTCCTGAGGAAACAGACCAGACGGATAAAAAAGAGCAAATGTGAGGATGAAATACTCAAAAGTCTCAGAAATAAATATAGTTCTGAAGTGATGAAGGTTCATCGACAGTTCAGACACAGTCCAGCAGACAGACCACAGAAAGGTTTTTTAATAGTTGAGTCAGTGAAAATGCAGAATCTAACACCCACCATGTTGGTTCACTGCTGGCATCTGAGTCCAGTGAGACTGGCTGTATTTTTACATGAACTTGAACCGAGTGTGTGTGTGGTATCTCTACATCATCAGTTGACAATACTGAGTGCAGACAGCATTCTGACTACAGATACATCTTCTGAAATTGAGAAGCAGGTTGTCCATGCCTGGATAAGTTCACAGGCCAGGATGATGGAGAATTAAAATCTTGCCTGGCAGTTTAAGATCGCCCAAAGGATTGTGGGTAGCAGGTGAAACACTGGAACTGTCTGATGGCATTGATAATATGGTCTGGCCACAGTCTGTGTTACATTTGGTGGCAGTAATCTGTGGCACAGATAAGCAGGCGCCAGTTGATGCCATGAAATCCACCAAGTCAGTCACAGAGAAAAGACTTTGGAAATAAATAGCATCAGAGATCTTATTCAAACCCAAAAAGTTGAGAAAGAAGTGCGTGTCACGGCTTCTTAAGGCACTGATGGACAGTGATAGCATGAGTTAGCACTCTGAAAATAAACAGAATATATGCAGTCTTGTTTTATTATGTCAATTGTAGGGTTGAAAAAAACGTTGATTTGCAAGAAATAGAAGCTGAAGATTAGTTTTCTTATAGAGTAACAGAAGCAATGTGTTGAAATAAGTCTGCATGTGGGTTTCCATCTTAAGGCGGATAAATATGTAATGCGGTCTGCATTGTTTGTCTGACTTTATGTTTGTTATTTTCAGTACCCCCATTTCCTGAAGAGGGATGCCAACAGACTGCAGATCATGCTGCAGAGGAGAAAACGCTACAAGAATCGAACCATTCTGGGCTACAAAACTTTGGCTGTGGGAGTCATCAATATGGCTGAGGTACTGTGTCATGCCTCAGCTGGGGCATTACTTTCAATCACTGCATTTCATGTTTCACTGTCAGCCGTTTAATTTCTCTTGAGAAACATCATTTTGCTCTGAGCTTTGTGATTGCATTCGGCTCATCTCCGACAGTGATTGACACAGCTATTAGTGTCTGTGTACCATGTCTTGGTTTGCCAGAGAGAGGGCCTCCTGCGTTACACATCATTTCAGATGAGTCATGGTCATCACACATACTGCTGTGCGAGATTATGGACCATCTGGAGCTGGCTTCATATGCACTTTTCTGGAAACAGTGCATTCAGTCATGCTATGTAGAAATAATGGACTAGGCGCTGATATAATGCCACTTGTGGATGGCTGTTAGATATAGAGATGTATGATTAAGTTTCTTTGTCCTGACCAGAGTCATTTAATGTTGAGTGCTGCATGTTCAGTCCTCAGCTGGACATGCAGTGGGGACTTTGCAGTTACGTCACACTGAATGTGTGGACACTGCACCACGAAGACGCCACTTTTAGCTGCATCCAGCAGCTCTAGAGCTCGCTCTGTTAGTTAGTTTGTTGGTTAATCGGTCGGTCGATCAGTTGGTAGGTCTGCAGAAATGTTCCCACCCTTGAGCAGCCAAAATTTTTCCCTAGGAGGCAGAAATTTGGCATTGAGGTCAAGTGTGTGCATGCAATTTGTGGTAGGTTTTATTTTGTTGTGTACAGAATCTGAATCTCACACTGAGTTTCTGTTATTGTTGTTTACCAAGTAAAGAAACGAGAGACAATTTAGTTCAGTTTTATATCACTTACTTTGTTGCAATTCTATGTTCTTATATTAATAATAGATTTTTTTAATCAATTTGTCATATTGTCAACAATATTGTTATCACAAAATTATTATTCTAGTATTATTATTATTCATTTTATTTTAGGGCCATATCACCCACCCCTAGTGGGTATCACATTGAAAAACACTGTTTGACATTGGCTTGCTGCTGTTAATTGTGCCTCTGTGTGGGTCATTCAATTGCAAGACTGTGCAGAACCAATGCGTTTTCAAGTTTTAACACAGTGGGGTGTTTCTGAGAGCAGCTATGGATTGAAGTGAACAAAGGGTTGGGAATTGGGCTTTATACAGCAGATACAGATCAATTAAAATGCCTTGTTCAGGACATAATTAGTTTGGTGTTTCTGTGTGAGAGAAATCCAGGTCAAGACTGGATTTAGACATAGATATCGAGCGTCACACTTATTTGGATCGGAGAGAAACAGGTAGCATTTCACCAGTTGTAATTACAGCAGCTGATGCACCCATTCATGCTCAGCCAAAGTGACTTTCCACCACTAGCCCCAGGACAGGAATTGACTGACATCTGAAAACAAGACTAATGCTTTATTGCATTTTAAAATACCACTCAGCTGCTGTGCTGTTTTGGTGCTCGCAGCAGTGAAACAACCCACAGACTTCTATGAATAAAGCTAGATTGGCCATTATTGGATCCTGTTGGGTAATTATGTTGTCATCTGCTGTAGAGTAAACTCTCCCGTGCCCTCATTCTGAATCTATTGGGGCATTATGTGGGAGGAAGTCACTTATTGGACTTTGCATGATGCAGCATTCGAGTGCACCCCTGCCAGTGTTTGAGCAAAATGAGTCAACTCCCTGTGCAGCTATTCATCATGCGAAATATTGAAAGTACCCCCCAGATAGAGCTTAGAATGAAAGCTCATCCCCTCTCATCTGATTCAAAACAGTTTATGCAAACTGTGTCGTACTGTTTGACTGGATGATATGAGCAAATTGCCTTGGCTCATTTAGACACACAGAATGGAAGAGCAGCATTGTGCTAATGAAGATTTACTTAGAGATAGCATAGCTGTCATCTTGTAATCAGTCTATAAATCTCTGTGAGCATAAAGCTGTGTAACAGAAGCCATCTCAATCTCCGCTGTATCAGTATTGGCTCAGCACAGAGAGAGATAAAATCCTTCCATCCTGTCTGTCTGTTGGAGAAATATTTGTTCCATGCTGCCTCGACATGATCTTACAGAGTGATTGATAGGCTCAGGAATTGTACAAGACTTGAAGGCATCTCAGCTTAAGAGGACTTGGATGTTTAGACAGATGAAGTCTGGTGTTTATTCAAGATAATATTATCAGGAACACGTCAGCAGAGGAAAAAATGAAACTAAAGTGTCTCCTGTAAATTGGATTAGGGCCCATTTTGTATTTGAATGGATTCTTAAAATCACTGTTAATCTCCCCATGTCCAGGTGATGCAACACCCGACAGACGGAGGACTGATTCTTGGTCTCCATAGCAATGTGAAGGAGGCGCCAGTACGTGTGGCGGAGATCAGCGTGTACTCTCTGTCCAGCCAGCCCATCGACCATGAGGACGGTAGCGGCCAGGCTGGCCGTAAGACCAAAACCTCAGGTGGGAACAGCCACCTCCCGTCCCCTTACGTGGATCTGTTAGACAGGCCTGTACCAATGCTGCCTGGCCAAATCCTGTCTGTAATTTCAGCCTTCACCCTGGAGCCAGCCCTCCCTGCCCAGGCCTCTCTTCCCTCCTTCCACCTGGCTCCTATTTCCCAGCCGAGGACAGAATAAACTGTATTAATCCCACCCCAACCTATGGCCAAGGATATGTTATTCTCTTCAGCTATGGTTGTAATGTTGATTTGAGAGTTGAACAGATTTAGGGGCTATTATCTTACACCGTTCTAATTCTGGACGGGGGAGAAATACTGGGCCCTGCTCGGACTCCACGCCTTCATCCTGCTATGCTGATCCCCGTGTTCTGGATGTTATTAAGGAGGCCACTCAAACATAACAGATGAGCTCATGCACCAAGTATTATACTAGTGTCACTGTGAGGGAAGCAAAGATGTTTATCTTTCGCCTTTCTCCTCTGCAGTGATTCTTAATAACATCCATCCCATCCAAGAGCATAGAACAGGATGTTTCACGGGCAGAAGGAAGTCAGAATTGGCCGTTAAGGGAAAAAAAAGATCCTCCATCACCTGATTTGTCCTCAGCTGTCAGACACACAGTAAAATCTGCTTCTTTAGGAATGTGGCTGTTCAAACCAATAAAATCTGACATTAAACAATAGTAAAACTTCCACCACTGAAATGTTATTAAAACTTAATCAGAATGTGAGACACGGATCGCAAAAAGAGCTCTACAATCTAATTTGCATATAATAAGACTTTCATTACATTTCAGCAAGCAAATTTAGCATTTAATTATGTGCGCAGAAAATGTTTTTGCATTACCATAGATGCTGTTCATTATTCTTGCCAAGCAGCCGAAGCAATTCATTACTGATGAACTATGTAGAATAGGGCAGGAAATTAAGAAACTTCATTCACTCGAGGAGGAAAATTGTCTTTGGGCTCCAACTGATATTTGTGGAAAACTATGCAATATACTAAAAGCATCATTTACACTATGAGAGAATCATTCTGCTTTGTATGATTGAAGGAATTGTTTGGATTTTTTAAGGGGGTTGTATGAGGTACTTATCCACATTTATGTATCAGCAAGAGCAGATGACTGTTAGCATGCCCCCAGTTTGGAGAAGAGGCAGGGCTGCTGGTACAGAGGCTAGGCAATGAACTGCACAGGGTTTATTTGGGCCACCTAAAAAAATCTAGAACAGTTTATGTGTATGCCGTATTTACAGTATTTTCATGGCTTTACCTGGTGGGGAAGCTGTTCACAACCTCAGTTTCCCCTCTATCCTCTGTAGCATATACTCCGTTGACAAACAGTCATTTTTACCTTGCAGAATATGGGAGATGCTGCCATGATCAATTTATTTGTTTGTGGTATTTTGAGACTTTGGTGAATCCGAACTAACCCTTTAAAACACCAGAGTCACACAATAAGACAAACAAACTAATTGACTGAGGCTGTGGTAGACCAGCAGCTCCTGTATTTAGCGATATTAAATTACTGTTTTCTCAATGGAGTCTGGCTTTGAAGAGAGCACTGTAACAGCTTAATTTCCTTGCCAGAAATGGCTGTCTGACAGCAAGGTAAAGCAATGCAAATACTCTAAACATGGCGCCCATGTTTTGCCGCCCCGCCCACAGCTGTACATTGCTTAGCTCCCATGTCGTTACTCCTGCCTCCTCCTCCAAACTTGGAGTATGTTGACTAGCATCTGCTGTAGGTAATACACTGACTATGGGAAAGGAGCTCACACAAGCCCACCTCAAAAGATCCAAACTGTCCCTTGAACACTTCTTGCCCTCCATCAGCAGTATAAGAACATTTCATATTGACTTTAGGAAGCTTGTTTCTAATTCAGCAAATTGCTTCCTATAGCCATATTTTACTCCCAAAGACATTTTCTGCAGAGTTTTAGCAATAATAAGGCAGTGACTTTAGAATTAATTTATTCACCATATAAACTCCATTTTTCTCAGCCCAAGTTTTAAAAACATGCCTTTGAATTTGAGTCTGTGCAGATGTAACACTGCCTAATGTAATTCTAGACATTCCTCCCTGTATTTTGATGTTTTTCTCTGTGTGTTACCTCAGACCGTTCCCCAGACATGGATAACTATTCTGAGGAGGATGATGACAGCTACTCGTCAGAGCAGGAAGCCAGCGATGACGCTGTTCATGGCCAGGTCAGTGCCAGTAAACGCTTAGATATAAACAAATCTGCAGTATTCAGGGACATTAAATGCACTTAAATGAATAACATCTCATATAGCTTAACAAGATGTAGTTGTATTGCTTTCATACTGACTGTGCTAGTAATGTTAGAGTTTTTGGTTAGTATAATAATGAATCTTCTACATTTAACTTTAAATGTACAGAGATAGAAATGTAGTGGCACAATTATGTTTACATTTCAGATATTTCACCCACCTTCTCTGTATTTCAGGATCTTTACGATGAAGACGACGAGGTCAGGAAGCCCAAGAAACCCCGGAGGAAAATGATCCGAACCACCTCCATGACTAGGGTTGGTCGCCTTCTTTTCCGCCAGCAGAGTTTTATGCTTGCCAATCATTTACTATGACAATAACTTAAGACTTGTGTTTGTTGTTGTACAAGCGTTTTAAGGGAAAGCACACACTGTGTTCCATTTGTCCAAGCCATTAGGACGATGCGGATGAACATGTAAACGAACACTGTGGGTTCACTGGACTGATTATAATGGTCTTTACATAGAGTGGCTGTGAATGAGTAATCCAGTGAAAAGTTACTGGGAGAACTGATAAGCCCGAGCCCAGCTGTCATGCGTATTTAATGGCAGTTAGTCCTTTCTCAGGGGCGTCTTTTTCTCATAATTGCGTGTTTTTTTTTCTGTTACAGCAACCCAACTTCAAGCAGAAGTTTGTGGCCTTGCTGAAGAGGTTCAAGGTAACAGATGAGGTGAGTGTGAAAAGAATAATTGCATTTGTTTTGACTGACACCCAGGAGAGGATGGTCAATGTCAAAGCAAATGATGTGGTGCATTTTAGAGGGGTACAGCATCCTTCTCGGTGCACCTGCTTGGAGTCTCTCAGTCCTTCTGTTATGAAGCTTTTAGTAAGGCAGCTGTGAAACATATCAGTTATTAAATTGCCATCAGGGCAGGAGAAAATAATGCCAGTATTGACTGTCTAAACAGCATATAGCTGCAGTTAATGTGCTCATAACTGGAGGAGAATCGCCTGTAAAGAAATGACTGCTGCAACAGAGGTACAAGCATCATTATGGGAGCTATAGGCCGCATTACCGCTGTGCTCATGGATGCATGATTCATACATTTCCATTAGCAGCTATCCGTATGCAGAATCCATTAACGACCCTATTCTCTACCACTTGATAAATGTGCATTCGTATGCTCGTCGTGGTTAGGTTTGTGTTTTTTCTTCTCCCAAGTCCTTTTCGTATAAATGTGTCTGCGGATTCTACATAATAGCTTGTAATCAGGTCATCAGCAGGAAGTCGACCATTTGTGTGCAACAACCCCTAGATGTCCATTAGTACATAATCTGTGTTAGGCCATTATAATGATAATATTTCCCATTGAACTGTGAAATCTATTGGAGTAACTGAGATAGTCATTGTCTTGTTTCTCCTTTTTCCTCTTTTTTTCTGACGCCAATGTCCATAGATTACATCAAGAAAGATGTATAAGAGATTAGGTTCTGTTTTTAACCATGTAGGGTTTCAGGGATTTGCTCTGCCTTTTTACTCCCCCCTTTATGTAACTTAAAAAAAATGGGTGTATTTAATTTAGTGATGCTTACAAGAGTCTCTGACCTGTGCTTTTCTGGATGGTTCTGGAAGCTCCAGGTGGCCCAATGATCTTTTATCACGTCCCCTGTCTCTAATCCCTTCCTTGTGGCTGGGCAGTGTGCAAGGCTACAGCTCTATAAATACATAGCCAGGAGGAGGAGAAGGGACAGACTGTGTTTATCTGCTCCCTGCCAGCTTCTGCACTTATGGAGTGGCATTAATCACCTGATTAGTCCACAAGCCTGCCTTGTGTGCAGTTCCTATGATATACATCCCCGCTGTGCAGCTGGCAGATCAAGGCTCAGCACCTCAGCTCTCCTCCAGCACTCACTTACCTTTTAATTGCCCTGCTTAGGACCAAGGCAGGGACGTATTTATAGCATAGATTTTCTCATTTTATAGCCGTCAGTGTTCTCCTTCATTCTTTAAGCACCATTAGGCCAGCTGTGAAAGTGATTAGCTAATGCACAGCTCCAGTCACTCCTTACACTTATTTAATCTATGGCCATAATTACTAATCCTTGATTACAGTGTACTGATGTGTTGATGATGTGTCTACCCTGTGCGTACAGGTCCTGGACTCTGACCCGGTCGATCAGACCCAGGAGGTGGAGGAGGATCTGGACTTACTCTACGACAGTCTGGAGGTGTACAACCAGAGTGACAGTGGGCCGGAGATGGAGGACAATGAGAGCGTTCTGAGCACGCCCAAGCCCAAACTCAAGTATGTCTGTACTCTTTCCTATAAGACCATCGTTTCATAAGTCGCCCAATATTCTTAGATATTGAAATATTTCTATTCATAGCCTATATTGTTAAAGTGTGATTTCCAGTGGTGGGTGGTAATGCATTACATGAACTCTGAGTCATATTTTTTAATAAATTGTTCTTCTAAGAGTAGTTGTTTTGTAGAATACTTTTTACACGTACTCAAGTACATTTGCTATAAAAGATACATACTTCTACTCCATTACATTTTGCGACACACTTCTTGCTACTTTTACTGATATATTTAGCCACACATGACAGCAATTGTGCAATAGCTTCTTAGCCAATCACAGCTCTGCAGACGGAACAGAGTTTATGTTTTGCACACTGTCACACGCACAATGCAGACTGCGTCCAGTCCAAGCCTCTCCTTTAAAGGATTCAGTGAATTCCTCCGGGCGCAGCTGCACCGCGTTCCGGCTGTGACCAGCCCACCAGAGCTGCCACTCCTGACAATGCTTGCAATTCCAATAGACATGCTGCAGAGTATTTCAGAAGCAGCTCACTGCTCTGCTCTGCTAGTGATGCAAAGTTTTTCCTTGTTGTGATGGAAGAGATTAAACAGTGCTTAACCACACGTATTTTATCATTTGTCTGGTTTTGGATAGGGCACTTTAATGACGTGCACTCATTTGTTATAACCTGTTGAGGGCCTGTGTGAATGTAATACATTGCATCTAATGAAGTTACTTACAACTTGTAGTTTATTTAAGGATATAGTTTTTTACTCTTACTCAAGTTGGAGCTGCTTAGAAAAAGAGGCTAAGGAAAGCATTTTTCCTGGGATGTTAGTTTCCTCTAATTCAAATCTTTGTTTGTGTTTTCAGGCCATTTTTTGAAGGGATGTCTCACTCCAGTTCCCAGACGGAAATTGGGAGCATACACAGCCAAAAAAGCCAGCAGAGAGAGCTGTCATGTCCTGTAAGTTGGTCACCAGGCACTCTTACTAACCTGTCAGATGCCTTTGGGCCCCGCTGTTTACCCGTAAAGTTCTTCCTCTCGACCACTGGAGAGGCTCTCTTGGTAAACAGTGTTATGTAAAGGAATTGCCCCTGGGCAGTGTTAAAATGTCTGGCAATCCTCTGTGCTTATTGTGGTTGAGGGATTCCCAAGGACCATGATACTACAGGCAAGATATTCTGAGCATGCAGCCCACCAGCTTCCACCCCTGCAAATGAGGATGTGGGGGCCTGCAGTCCTTACCCTCTTCACCTCTACAGCCCTCTAGTATTTATAGGGACTGACACAGAATGACCTCTCCACCACCATCAACACACACACACACACACACACACACACACACACACACACACACAAATATGCTCAGAGAGAAGATTGGATGGAACAATCCCTGAACTCCTACTCACAGATTTATGGCCCATTGGAAACAACAAGGACAGAGAAACGGAGAGAGAGAGAGAGAGACATGTTGAGTCTGATGGTTAGAGAGGGAACGCTGTTTATAAATATCTGGGAATCCATTTTAGCCTGTAATAAAACAGCCTGGAGCATTTCAAACTGCTATAGCCCTCCATTTTGCTCAATAAATGTCTCCAGTCGAAATTCATAAACGCGTCTTGCAGGCAAAATGGAAAGTCTTTGATCTAATATTGCAATAAATTAAACTAGATTTTACTAGATGCACTTAAACACTTTTAGTCAAGCAAACTGGAGCAGAGCACACAAGAGCGTCAGTTATTCTTCTGGGGGTTTAGGTGTTAGTAGGCGGCTGTACTGAAACGTATAGAAGCTTTGAGAGATATTTATACTCGCCAGCGCTGCCACCGTCTCCGAGCTCGACTGTGTGGAGCTACCACTGTGAAATTGGTCACATCCTGAGAGTGGTCAATCTTGACCTCAGCAGATGGAGCATAGCGGTCCCATAAGGAGCTGTGACATTTTGTCATTTATATTCACCAGAGGAGTGACCTCTGTGATTAAACTGATCCAATGTGTGTGCTTGTGTGTTTACCCTGCAGAGTGGTGACTTTCTGACCGTGGACAGATGTAAAGTGCAAGGGGCCCGGTATCAAGACGACAGCATCACAGACACAACCGTCGGGGTATGTGTTTGCAACAGCAGTATTTTTACTTTTTTGTTTGTTTGTTTATAGCTAAATGTCCCTTGAGCAGCATGTCTTTTTCCGATTTTCCCCTACCCTCTCCACTTGAGTGCCCTTTCTTCCCATGGGTCTTAGTTGTTTTCCAAGAAAAAGCAAAGAGGGAGGGCGTATGCAAGGGCAGGCAGACCAAACAGCACAGTCATCCATTATGGATCAGTGGAGCAGACAAGGCGGCCCCATGCTGGATAAATCCTGACTGATGAGGATCGAAAGAGGGGTGTTTGTGTTTGTTGTTGTCTCTCTGTGCTGTCGGGTCACTCTAACCTTCAGTTAACCCCGACTCCCCCTCTGAGCGCCAGGCTGCCGGCTCATCACACTGCTCCACTAACCCAGTTCAAACCGAATATCTAAACTGCAGGCACAATGTTTCCCCAGCCACCTGCTAAGAGACCACGACTTTTTTTGTTTTTAATTTTATTTTTTTTTTTATCTCATCTGTCATGGTGGGCTCGCATCATTATCTCCAACCTTAGCAGCTCAGCTCAATTATTCACCAGGCGAGCACCTCCCTACCTCCCCACCCGCCCTAAACTCTTTCAACTCCTGCTCTTAAAATGCTGCAGATGCACCACACACAAAAAAGGACAGAGAATGTACCAGAACTTGAGAGAGACACTGATGCAGTAGCAGATGGGACATGACAGTGCCTGTGTTGTATGATAAACATCAGCATTGTCCTCTGACAGCCCTTTTGGCTCATCTTTGCTCCCCTCCCTTCTTTTTGGTCCAGGAGCCAGAGGCTGACGACAGCGGGCTGGGGCCGGGAGAGGTGAGCAGCTGGGATGTCAACACTGAACGGATGACCAGAACTGTTGGCAAGCTCTGCAAGACGGAGTCCCAAAACCACATGTCTCCCAGGTACATACATCTGGAAACATGCACACAAGATAATGTTATGTCATCATGTAAGCACACAAGTTACTCTAGATTTGTATGTTTTTTTAACGAGATTTGAAATGGGTGTTTCCCCAACAGATGTTATGAAATGTGTTACCTCCTGAGCCCTGTCTGTCATGCACTTAGAGCTCCTTGTGTTTCATCTCTTCCTCAGTAAAATGGAGAACAGGCTGCAGAGGCGTCCTCGGAGCACCTCCATGAAAGACAGACAGAACTCTAAGGCCCAGAGCGACAGGACCAGCAGCATGGAGAGCGAGTGCTCCCCTGACTCACGACTCATAGCACAGGTAAATACACTGCAGATGTAACATCAAGATGTGTTCTTTACATAATGTTCTTAGGCAATGTGCTCAGACGCTCTGCGTCTCCTTTGTCTCAAAGGTTCCCAGAAAGTCTGTCTATGACCAGCTGAACCAGATCCTCATTTCTGACGAACGCCTGCCAGAGAGCATCATCCTCATCAACACCATGGAGTGGCAAGGACAGGTGTGCATTTTCCATACATAACACTAAAATCATGAACTCCCTTACCTTCATCTCTTCATATATGGTAGACGCACTTGGGCCAGGCAGGACGGGGCCTGCTGCAAGCATTTCCTCACATTGCAAAGAGAGATAATAAAAAAGTAAGGGTGCTCCGACAGGATTTTTGGAGCCGATCAGAGGGTCTGTGTGAAGCCTTCTATTTATTGTGTAACACTTTTTATTTATTTGGCTATTATTAACAACCTTGTACATTAAGTAAAAAAAACTAAGAGACGAGAAAACTGTTTTTTTTTTTACTGGCAGCCGACATGTGCAACATATTCCACTCTCTTACTTAGAGGCTCAACTTAAACCAGAGCAGCCCACCATGATTACTGGGAGCAGCTTAGAGCTTAACAGATAAAGCTTTCCTGTGGAATAAAATAAACTACTACTAAATGGAAATTGGAATAAAAGCTAAATGTGCAAAACACACCAAGGTTAGAAGAATAAATCATACCAAGGCAACTAGTAATTTGTCAACTATTTTTTAATTTAGTCTTAGGGTGCTTTCACACCTGCTCTGTTTGGTTTGGCTCAATCAAACTCAAGTTTGTTTGCCCCCTAAGTGCAGCTCATTTGGGCAGGTGTGAACACAGCAATCACACAACAAAAACAACAAGACAAAGATCTTCTTGAAGAGGTGGTCTCAGTCTGGTTACAAACAAACTCTGGTGCAGTTAGTTTGTGGCCTTGATCTGAACCAACCGCAGAGCATGTTACAGTCCTGGAGGATTATTAATGTGCACCTCCTCCTGTACGGCCCTAATATGCACATTCAGCACATCCAATGTATCAAAACATTTTTTTTTTGTTGGAGCCGTGCCTCGTTTTCAAACTGTATGGTTTGCCTTAAATAAACAATGCAAGCAGTATAGTCCACGATGACCAGCGCTTAAATCAACCAGCGTAGTTGTCCCTCCATTGCGACAATAGGAAGTGTCACATTTATCTTGCAAGTGTAGTCTTCTTCAGCGTTTTGTTTACTTCCTGGATTTTTCCCGCATGGAAATTCCGACCAATCAGGAGCAGCTTTCCCCATGAACGCATTTTATCTGGTCCGCTTGTAAATGCTGCTGTGAGAACACGAACCAATTCTCTGTGATTATAAAACTTTGTAACAAAATTAGTCCCTGATTCGGACCAAAGCAAGACAACTCTAGGTCTGAAAGCACCCTTAGTCCTGTGTCACTTATATTTTTTATTTTTTAGGCGCACCAATAAAAACTGTCTTGTGTGTTTGGCGTCGTCCAGTTGGTTCCTCTGATCAGCCTTCATAGAGACCACTGTTAAGAATGAATATGGGCAGATAAGGATCGGTGGCCAATCAGTTGGAGCACCCTCTCACCATAGAATTATTGTTATACCCCAGTAGCATGTTTTTCCTGCTCTCTTTCCGACCCGATCAGCCCTGCCTCTTGTATATCCATTAACCCATCATGTCCCTCTCATGTGTGTTCTTGTGCAGTATGTATCCGAGTTGCTCCATGAACAGGGCCAGCCCATTGTGTCCACCTGCTCTGCCGCCGATGTTCAGGCTGCCTTCAACACCATCGTCACACGCATCCAGAGATTGTGAGTCACATACATACATGCATACACACGCATTGGTTGAATGACACGGGTCACCACAAAGTGTGATCTTACTGCCTGTTGTTACTGAATACTCCTCGCCAAACTATGTATGTTTGCGGTGGCTCGGTGCCATAGAATTCCAGGACGCTATGGCTCAGGCTGCTGAAGAGCTCTCTGTCTGTGAATGTGCCTGTTTTCTCATGAAAAGCTGAAGTTCAGCCTTCTTCTCTCTCTTATTCTTGGATCCATCTGCTTGCCTGCCGTCTCCTCAGGATGTCATGTCAGTGGGAGACTGAGGCTGTCGCAGTCTGCTTCTCTGCTTCTGTTAAACCCGTTTTCTCTGTAATCCGGCCGAACTGCAACTTTTTCACTCTTAACACACCTGCTCCTCAGTCAACCTGTTTACTCCAGCTGGGGCCATGTCATGTGGAGCCATGCACGTCTCTGATGTTAACATGCTCGCTCTGTGCTGCCGCTGCTTTAACTTGCTGCAGGGTTTTTCCTCAAATGATGTCACTGAGAGAAAATGGACATTTTAAAACCTACGCATACTGTAGACAGTATCTTACTTCATAAAACTTTCATATCTCAAATCCTTAAGCTTTTAGCTACAAAGTCCATAAGTCCTTAGGCAGTGAAGTATTCCTTTAAAACAACTTAAATGTTTTACATACATTATTACTTATAAGACAAATCATTTATAAGCCGAAATGTAATTTTTCATTTTACGTGTTTGCAGTGAGCAACCAGTAAACCCAGTTTAACTGAGCTGACTTGAGTTTCAGGGGGTTTTGGCTATTTTTTAAAGATAAAATTGCTTTTCTGTTTGTCAGTGTAGGATTAGGATCTAAAAGCTGCTGCCATATTTGGTTTGACTTCAGGAAGACTTGCAGAAACTTGCAAGTGCCTGTTATTATAAATTATAACATGACATAATCTGGCTGTCATAAAAAAGAAAGACCGGTTTTAAAGCAGGAAAAACCCTGTTGAGATATAAATCTTCAGACAGTCATGCATTCTCTCACACGCCCCCTCTGACCCACATCTCTTTCTCTTAATTACTTATTCCTCCTCTCTATCTGAAACCCCCGCAGCTGTAACTGCAATGCTCAGACACCACCGACGATGAAGGTGGCAGTGGCAGGCGACCAGAGTTACCTCAGCACCATCCTGAGGTTCTTTGTGGAGCAGCTGGCCAACAAGACACCTGACTGGCTCAGTTACATACGCTTCCTGGTCATCCCCATAGGTAAATCATTCGCAAATATTAGCATAAAATGCTACATATGTTTTGCAATTTCTTTTACTTAAAGCTTTCCTCTGCACTCCCTCACAGGTTCTCATCCTCTGGCAAAGTATGTGGCCTCATTTGACAGCAGGTTCAACAGCATCTTTATGGACACTGCGTGGAGGGAGCTGTTCTGCAGGACGGAACGGCCCGCCTCAGGTTAGGATGCATAGCTGTGGTGTGTGGCTACAAAGCAAGGCTGCGTGTCTAATGTTCAGCCAACTTGAAAGGGAAAGAAATGGGGTCAGAGCATGGGTCAGGGGCTGATGGATAGGAAGAAGAGATTTCCTCCAATTGCAAAAGACAGCCACAGCCTGCTGCAGTGTAACGAATGGCTCTAGATTATAGCACTGCTCCTCCTCCCTGTAAACTGTCTATTGCTGCTTAAGAAGACCACCAGGCTGTCAGAACTCTCACTCAGATATTTACTCCAAAGACTATCAGAGTTGCAGTTTGAAACTCTTGTAATTGTTTGCTGGCACACACATCCATGTTTAAGCTTGTATTCCCACCCCCTTTCCGTAGGTCTCACTTGTCCTGCCCAGACAAGCCCGATAATCCTCACCTATCCCCACCTAATAATTCACTTAATTTACATCCCATAGGTGCAACAGTCCCACACACCATGTTAAATTCACCTCTAAAGGAGCTCCAAGCAAAACATATGAGATGATAAAACAAAAGTGCTGGGTCCTCTTCTTTTCCCTTCACTCTTTTATCCTTGACATAAGCTGCTATCACAACACAAAAGTTTGGATAAGAATTGCTGTGAGTGCTTTCTTTCACAAGGAGATTAGTTTAAACTGCAGAGGGGCAATAGGTCAACATAAGTTGACATTAAAAATCAGCCTGTGTATCCACATTTCAAGCTGGCAAAAATGTATGCTGAGCCCACAGGCCTCCTGCTTGACACACAATTCATCTTGTGTGTCGTATGGCTGACTTCACCCACATTTTAATGACATTTTACACTCAGCAGCCCCTCCCTGCCATCCACCTCCTTAATTCAGTGGAATGAAAATGATTAATGCACAGTCTTCCAGCGATCTGCTGTATGTGAAAATTAGCATTTGCATCAATTGTCTTGCAGCTTGTTAGTCAGACATGAAAGAGGAGAGGCGTGTTGTTAACAATCTGTCTCCCCGCAGACAACATTGATGTAGCAGGACGAGTGGTTCAGTATCTGGTCGGTGCCAACGTGTCCCACCAGTTCCCCATCTCAGAAGCAATGCTCACCTACAAACAGAAGAGGTAAAGTAGCTTTGATGATTTAAGTTTGAGTACACTCATGCACTACATATGTTTATGTGTGTATGCATGTATGTTCTTGTGCATTTCTGTGCTTGTAAGCATGATGTCTAACCTGGACGGCTGATACTAATGTTCAGAATGTCTGTTTTCTCAATTAAAGTGAGCCTTAGAACAAATATAGCTTCAGATGATCATCAGTTACTGCATGAGGAAGATGTTAAAATGCATATGCATGCAAGCAGGCACATACATTAAACACACACCCACAAGTTGCTTTGATGTGTGATGATAATGATCCTTAGTGAACTGTCACTGTAGAGTCACATCTGTTTATTCTGACATAAATGAGTCCAGGATACACAGGTCCATTTCAACAGTAACACTGTTTGATAAAAGGTTAGGACTGATTATAACGTACGGGTTCAGTTGTCAGATCAGCACAAGTCTCTGCATCTACAAAAGTCCAACGTCTACCCAGTCAGTCAGTTGCATTTCTGTGTGCATTTGTTGGTTGTCTCTCTGAGGTTTGACCAAACCCTTCCCCTCTTTGTAAGAACGGCTTCCTATTGGTCAGAAGGTACCAAATACAACACAGTTTTAACGCTGTTGCATTCCTTCTTCCCCCTTTCCCTTTTGATTTGCATTCAAGGAAAAGAAGTTTGTATTTTGATTTTTATATCAGGTATCTAATTCAACTATTTTTGTTTTGTTTTGAACCTCCTGATTCTCTCTCCTCCATTTGGCTTGAGCTCCTTGCTGTGTCTTAACATTTCCCTTTTCACACTCGATACTCACTGTAACTTCACTTTGCACTCTGTCCTGACTTGTGTCTTTGGTTTGGTGTGACCTTTTTTGATTCTTACTCTGTCCTCTGTGTTGTTGCCGTGGAGATTTGCCTAACAACCTTTAAAACAACCCTAAATATTTACACAGTGGAAATGATTTTCTGACTCACACATCCAGCAATATTAAAGCTTTGTTAATGAATAGAAGTCCTTTAGAGTGACCCACAGGCAAAGTTTGTTACAGATTTTATGTTGACTTGAGAGTGAGCTGCCCAAGTCTCAGGACGTGTATTAATCTACCCACAGGAGTGGCTACATGTCAAAAGACAAAACAATAACGCCTGTAATGTGAATCTGATATTTCCCACTCTTTCTAAACTGCATGAATACAACTAACTCTGAAAGATATTTCTGCATGTATGCATATATTAATAGAACAAAGTAATACCTACATTTACAAAGGATCAGCAGTAAAGTTTAAGTTATCGTTTGTCTCCTTATAAATGTTATTTTGTGAGATATGTGTTCACTTCCTGTTTGGACTGTTGATTGCTTTTGAATGGACAGCAATGCAGATATATCCCATCACTGATTTATGCACTACTTAAGTCTTTACTTATTAAGATTTCTTCATTTTAATGATGCAGCCAGAGTTATTAAATCATGTGGCTGAAACTAGCGAGTTGTTACTAAGATGTTAGGATGTGAGAAGCTGCTGCAGTTCAGTGCTTGTGTGCTTTGTTCAAGTGGTAGTGTTGCTTTGCAGAATCTTTACCTTGAAATGTGTAACATCACTGAAATATAATCATAGACTCCATAAAAGAAATGGACGTAGCCACAGTGTTGTCACCAAATGGTTTGTCGACTATCGTTTTGAAGATTTGAGTTTGGCATTTTGGGTGTTGCAGTCGTTTTTCTCTGTGTGGATCAACAGGCTGCTGTGGTAGCTACTTTAGCTATTTGTCAATCACAAGGTTGCCACGCCCTAAAGCATAACCTGCTTTATTGCCTGATTTACTCTAAATGGTGCCATAATTTACAAATGGACATTGTGCTGTGTTGAAGAAGATGTGAAACTAGTGATAGAGACCATGGACTTGTGTACAATCAGACTTCTTTTTGCGACTAGTGGCGTCGCCCCCTGCTGGCCACTAGAAGTGAGCTGCCCAAGGTTTAAGGCATATAGGCATTGACTTCACTTTTCAGATCTGGAGGCTCCTTCCTCTTCTTCTACACAGTTTATGGAAATAATATAGCTCTAAAATTGCTGGGGATTGCACAGTATACCTTGTGATATAAACTATGATATTACTTTATTATTATTATTATTATTATTATTTTGTCTGATACATGCCTTGCCCTTGCTGTTAGGCATCATTTGATTGGTCACTGGAATCTATAGGCAGGCAAATGAGGTTTATTGGACTAGTGCTGCTGTTTTACTCTGCATGGTTGAAGCGGGAAAGTGTGACAAGATGAGTGCAGAATAAAGTGTGAACACCAGAAAGGAACTGATGCCTAAAAAAATAGCACGTCAGCCATCTGGCAGTATTTTGGATACAGGAGAGATGATGTGTCAAAAGTACAGGTACAGTCTGAGTCAAGAACTCAGTAGCTGATCTTTAATATCTGTTTATGTATCACAAGTAATATAGTTATTGTAGTATTCAACAACGATTTCACATATGGCATATTTTCTGCATATCATGCAGCCCCATGGGGGAATCATAGTCCAGAATCTGAGCTGAAACAGGATCCGGCAGTGTTCCTCATCATCTTGCTGTTTGCTTTGGGTGCAGTCTATTTTGCAGGCTCATGAAAGACTGGGAGAGAATGACCAGCTAGTTTAGCTGCATGTTAGAGCAGGTTGCAGAAAGATATCGGGTTGCATTTTTGAATCGGGGTAACCTATGTGTGTATTAACCTTTAAGTGACAATGACTGCTGTACTGTTTTTTTCCTATCTTTGTTGTGTGTTGTTGAACCAGTGATATGCTCAACACTTCTTAGTAGAAGTGAAAAGAAGCCACACGGTTAATACGGGCCAGGCCCAAACTTTAGTCCCATACATAAAAATAGCTCCTAGTACTGGCTGATAAGAAAGACCCCGTCTTCTTTTGGTTGTAAGGAGCGATCCTCCCATTCATCTCATTATAACATGATCCCAAGATGACCCCATTTCACACCAGTCAGTCATGTGCCATTTCTGCTGCGATGGGACATGGTGCAGGTCATGCCACAGCCATCTTCCCTCCAGGACCATTGAGTGTTCATGTGCACCTCTGGAGTGTTGAAGTGTTAAAAAAGCCACTTCTGGCCAAACTCACATTCTCTTTACTCTCTGTTTACAGCCCTGATGAGGACTCCTGTCAGAAATTTGTGCCATTTATTGGGGTAAGATTCTTATTTTCTTTTTGCCTTTGCAAACGTGGCAGACAGAATTGTTGCTTCCTTTGATGTTTAATTTAGTTTCACACTGAACCTTTCACTCTTTTTATTCCTGCAGGTTGTGAAAGTTGGAATTGTGGAGCAAAGTTTGTCAACTTCAGGTAAGGATGGCTTTTGTCGGTCTGTCATAGTGTTTTGTCAGGTTGGTGTGTTCAACATTTTACTCTTGATTTTATGTGCTGAGACAGAAATGTAACTGAAGAGATGTCACTCACTGGATACAGATTCAGATCAGGAAAGAGGAAAATGACCCAGAAATCCCAATATTATTTTATTTATTTACTTCATTTAATAATGTTTAATTTACTTTGAAACTTTGTGTATGAGACTACTTTCACCCTTAATTTGCAGTGGACTCAGATGACGCAATGGGGGTCAACACGAGCATCTTGTCCTCCCCAACGCCCCCATCGGCTGGTCCGTATGGGAAGGAAATCGGGGGCACTCCCCCACAGTCTCCCTCCGTGTCCACTGCCCTCTCTGGAGCTGGGTACGACAACAGATACTTTTTTCTTTCTCACTACTAGTTGTGCTGAACAAGTGATGTACACAAAAAGAGGTTTCTGTAGTGTTTCTGACTTTGCCTGTTTTCCCCTGCAGCTCTCCATGTTCGGGCAGCGAGGTGATGGGGCTCCAGGTGGACTACTGGACGTGGCAAGGCCCAGAGAAGAAGAAGGAGGGAGAGAAGAGAGACGTGGGACTGAAGAACACCCTGAAGAGTAATTTCCGTTCACTGCAAGTCAGCCGCCTGCCTTGTGGAGGGGAGCTCACCCCTCCACCCAGCATGGCCATGACTGTGGTCACCAAGGAGAAGAACAAGAAAGGTAAGCTTTGGAATCAAAGCACATGACAAACATCATACCTGATAGCCACAATATAATATATTCTATACAGGAGTGCAGTAGTGTAGTCTTGGGTATACACTGTATACATTAAAAATGCGCAAGGATACATAACAGCATCATTTAGTGACAGAACTTTCACCATAAGTATTTGTTTTCACAAGATGTGACAGCAAAATGAACACGCAAAGAGACTTTCGTCGTCTTTTCTCGCTCTCACCCTGCAGAGCTGAGTGCGTAGCCTTGGTTCAACAGAGAGAGAGTGATGGTGTGTGTGCTCAGAGCAGACAGATGTTGGTGATCAGAGCAGAGAGGAAATTAGCAGTAAAGTTGTCAAGTCGTAGTAAATGTACAGTGAAGGTTTCAGTTTGTCCATGAATAAATAAAGTCCCCATGGCTTGCTTCCAAACTGCTGGGTAAAGGGAAGCTGGTTCACATCAACCTCGGCCCTGGAGGCAAACGAAATCTAGTTACCTAGTTGCCTTATGAAGCATGGTCAGTGGTCGCTTCCTATACAGGAGGGGCTTTGAGTTTGACTGTGACCTAGACCCGACCTACCAATTAATAATGCATACCTTTATATTTTTTTATTTAGAGCAATATTGAAGGCATAGTTACATTTGTCAGTTTTTAAGACAGCTGCTATCACTCATCACCAGAACGTCATCTATCCCAGCATAAGAAACACACACAGCAGACTAGACTGCAAAACTGCCAGAGAGAGGTTGAAAGAATATTCCCCAGATTTAACACTGCACTTCTGTGACATTGTTGGACTCACAATGGAGAGATTATTCAAAAAAAGGATGAAAATCATTGCAGCAGAACCAGATATATCATCTTTTTTATTCCAAAACCTGGTGCCCTCAATACCCATAATGCAAAGCTCCCTCTGGGCCCACAAAAGCCTTTAACTTTCTCCCACATATGCAGTAGCACTCTTCAAGACCTGTAAATACACTTTGATGTGTAAAATTGGTGGACTTTCCCTTTAACAACAACAAAAAAAAAAAGTGTGAGGAAAGTGTTTTTATGCCTCCTTGTTTCTGTCTCCAGTGATTTTTCTCAGCAAGAAGCCCAAGGAGAAAGAGCTGGACTCTAAGAGCCAAGTGATTGATGGCATCAGCAGGTTGATCTGCACAGCCAAGCACCAGCACACCATGCTGAGAGGTAAGGCTGAGGCTGTACTGCCACCTGGTGTCCGGATAATTTGATGTATTAAATAATGTCAGTCGAGTAAACAAAGAATTATCTCTGTAACAGCTGTCCGTGCAGATTGTCTGCAGCACCCGTTAAGAGATATTTAATGTGTTATAATTAATTTATTTGTGGATTTAACGATCGTCCTTTTTTGTCCTTAGTCACTATTGATGGAGTGGAGTGGAATGATGTGAAGTTTTTCCAGCTCGCTGCCCAGTGGCCAACACATGTCAAGCACTTCCCGGTGGGAATCTTTGGTTACACTAAGCCCGTGTGACCTTGGCCACCACCCACTCCGCCACCACCAGACTCTCCGCTGCACTTGTCTCACCGAGAGGCTCCAGAGAATTAGAGGAAAAAGCAGACGGGCCCCCGGCAGTAATAGTTTTCCTGTGGAAATCTTACTGACTCACAACCACGTGTTCAACACACAGATTTCATGTCGTCAGTTGGATGTTTTTGATGTTGTTGGGTGTTGTTGTTGTTTTTTACACACTACAAAAAGAACAAGTACTATTTTGTAAGATTTGTGCTACCGCCTCGGAGGTATTTTGAGGTTTTTGACAATTTGCCACATTTCGATAATGGCAGCTGTGTTTGCACTTTGTTTTTGTTAACATTTTATTATTTCTGTGAAATCCTACATTTATTGTTACTCTATAGACAATGGAGGAGTGTGATGGTGATGTGCAGTGGCGTGTGTGAGATCGTTTGTGTTTGTTGTTGAAAGTTGGAATATTGCTGTGAATCTAGATGGAATCCTTCTCTTCTAACTCAGTGCTCAGTTTTCTTACTCGTCCCTTTACTTTCTCAAAAAAGGTAAATTTTTATAGGAAGAAACAGAAACGTTCTGTTTTGCCTCGTTGCTTTGAAGCACACTGTGTACCTAAAGCAAATAAAACAACATCTAAAGCAAGGTATTTCTGAAGGTAGCTATAAGGAATGTAGCTATGGAGCATTTGTAACACGTTCATTAATCAGTTCATTATGAAAAGTGCTGAAGATTTTGCATGGATGTTAGAGTACATTCAGAGTGTACGGTAACATCTACCTAGAAGCAGGGTAACGTGGCACCACAAAACATATTTCAACTATCAACAGCTGAATGCCAAATTTAGGTGTGACTGTATGAACTGTCGTATCGTTTCAAGGTCCTGAATTGTTTTTCAGTTTCCCAGCCTCCCCCGTGTTCAGCTTGATGTACTGGCTTACCTGAGAGCGCGTCTCACAGACCTGCAGTAACTTAGCAGATACTGGGTTTCTCCAGATGTGCAGTGATGTGCCAAAGTCAAGTTTGTTTTACAGTGTAACCACCAGAGCTCTTGGCTTGGCCAAACTTCATAGTATGTTAAACTGAGAACTAAAATCGTACACTTGATGTATCTGTGGTCCCTGTGGAGATCAGTATTTAGATTACTGAGATGTTAGCTTTGATAAATTTACCAGTTAGTGCTCCACATTTGGCCAAATATAATCCCAGTAAGCATTTACAAGACGTGTGCACATCCTAACCAAGCAATTACCATTGTGTCCTTTATAATTGTGTCACCGTGGCTGGACGTGCAAGTAATGCCTAACCTAATCAGACTGGTCATGCAGTACTGTGTTGGCCTGTGGTGGGAAAATTACTAATGAGCTGGACTTGAAACATGCTTTGACAGTCGTGTCGAGCGCATTGCAAGTATTGAATTACTTTTAAAACATGATGAAAAGTGTATGGAGTCTTGCCAGATGTCCAAGTCACTGCCTGTGTGTGTCTGTGTAGGTGTGCTATATGTTCGATGGTACTCCCTGAATAGTGTTACGTGAAACTTTTGCAATAGGAAACCTTTGGACAAAGGGCCTTCTGTATGAGATAGTCGTTGCTTTTTATAAAGTGAAGATTTACAAGCTTTGATTGGCTGGCTTTTTTAGTAATGTATATAAATATAATAAACAAAATGTTATTATTGTGAATCGCAAATCCCTGCCCTCCCACGGAAAATTAAAAAGCACAAATAGCTTACCTTTATTTCTTGACATAAATGCCAAATATATTTCCAGAACTCATAACTATGAAGTTGACTTGTACAATGCAAACACTATTAGGTATGTAACTTCTCATACATTTCCCTCACTTTGTAATGCACTTTCATGTGGGTTTTATACATATTTTAGGTCAAATTGGGACACCCTTTGTTTTTGAGGTGAAGTGTTAAGAGGTGTTATATTTGAAATGTAAACCACTACCTATAGTCAAGAGAAGGCAGGATGTTTCCGCAGGGATGTTTATGTTGAAGCGCCCTGTGAGGTCTGATAAACCGTCATGGCTGTCTGTTACTTTGTTTTGCCACTTGATGTTGAGAAGCTTACTTTGCAGCTCCCACCGTACGTGTCTGCCTGTGACTATACAGTCTCCTGTCTCCTGCTTCTTGAAGGGTTCACTATCTTCTTTTTGTTGGGAGACCAATTGGCCCTCATGGATGTGTAAACTCGGGCTGTGAAGTGTTAGCCAAGGCAGAGTTGTTTGAGGGAATTTGTCATGAGATTTCGCCTTTTACATACTGAACGGGCATAATGACAAGTGTATTTCGATGTATTTGACCTCAACTTTTTTTTTTTTTTTTTTTTGCCCTAAATCTAGAGGTAGCATGGGGGTGTTTTACAAGACTGGATCAATGAGCAGGCATGCTCACTTTGTCAACACAATTTTAGCACAGCAAAAAAATTAACTCCTAACACCAGTGTTAGTTTTTCATTAATGGTCAAACTGCAATTACAACATGCCATCTCATTGCTCCTGTTACTTGAAATGCCGCCCAGTGTCTTTGCACAAACCCTATTTTAAATGACATGACAGTATTTTTAAATTTACCACTAAAAAAAATATGGATTACTCTGCATGTTTTACTATAGATGTAAATATGTTTTGGATTTTTATATTGTTTTGTTTCTTTCCATGCTCTCACAAGCAGTTGTGTTTAATAAAATTTTTAATCTTCTGTACAAACAGTTTGTCTTTATTCATATTATAGCTCCAACCACAATAACATTACAATATTCTCCAGTCCTGAACATGTCCCATGTGTTATCAAGACGAGACTGAGGGCAGGTTGACGTACACCTTCATTGGAGGCAGCGGTTTGATCTTGCGTCCTGCCCAGCCTCCCTTTCTCTGCCACAAGCCGCTCGAAGGGCGCCTGCCAAGCCAGCGGTTGCGACCAGCTTTGCCAATGATGCGTTTATTGTGGTCGATGTTGGACACGCGTCCAACTGTTACCATGCAGGTCTCCAATACCTGTGTGTCCAGATGACAACAGTGAGTTTAAAGCAGAATGTTTTATCACTGCAGGTAAAATCTCTATCCAGATAAACCTCACCTGAACCTGCTGCTTCGATGGAAGCTGGACAATTGCTGTTCCGTTGACTTTACGGAGCAAAATGCCACTTGTGCCTGAAAACAAAATGAACCACAATATTTGGTTTAGGTGTTATGAGTCGACAAATTTTACAGCAGCCATTACCTTGTTCCAAATGCCTGAGGCTTTCAGGCAACATTACATGAAATGAACAATCGTGAAAGTGTAACAAGGATGCACAATAACAGAGCAGATAAGAATTTAAGTGGACCTTGAAATTATGACATCACTATTTTATGACATTTTTAAAGACTAGTTAGTTGAAAAATATTTGATCAGTCAACATCAAAAGCAAGAATCTAAAATGCCTAAAATGACATGCAAGTAATCTATTACCTGCAGCACGAATGTACTGGGCTCCCTTCCCTGGTTGTGTCTCCAGGTTGTTCACCAGTGTCCCCACAGGAAGTGCTCCCAGCGGGTAGGCGTCACCCTCATTGGCTGAGACTGCAAAGTACAACAAAAGGACGAAGTTTGATTTGTGTTCGGTACAGATTACTGTTTGGAAGCTCTGGATGAAAATCCAGGGTGACTCTCACACCTGCCATGCGTCCAATAACTGCAGATGTTTTAATGACGTCTCCGGTCTGCATGTTCTCTGTAGCAATGATCCATCTTTTCCGGTTGCCTCCAGCTACCAGAGCGATGTCAGCAGACCTGTGTCAAACAGATTATGATGATTATCATGACTTTAAATACAAATGTTAATCAAACTCCTGTGTGTTGGAAGCTGATCTCACCTGCATGGGTCGTACCGCACTTCAACCACCTTCTCATCAAATGGCTGGGACTCTTTGTTTTCTTCGTAGCGCAGCCGCTGAAAGTCTACCCACCGGTATTTCTGTTTGTGGCCGCCACCAATACCGTGTGTCCGTATCTTTCCTGTACGGCAGAGACAAAGATGAGCAACTCGTTGCACTGGGCTCTAGTCAGAACACGTAGCACAGCTGTTATAAAAGCAAATACATCACTAAATGCTGTCAGCAGCTCAACCCGAGGCTGAACTTGACTTCTGATTGACAACTTAAGTAGAGGCCTGAGGGGAAATTATTATTAGGTGATTCTCATAAAACGATTTAACAGGTGCTCGATTTAATATTTGAAACCAGGCCTGCAACGGGTGATTACTCATGATGATTCATTATTAATTATTCTGCCTATTATTTAGTCAGCTGATTAATTAATAACTTTGTCTATAAAATGTCAGAAATGGTTACAAAAAAATGTCCATCAATGTGTCTTATGGCTCAAGGAAAAAATTGAATTGCTTTTGTCTGACACAAAACAAATTCAAATTGCTTTTTTAGCTCCATTTCAAACCTGTTTAAGTTTTATGAACATTTTATTCTATTAAATAATTGTACACAAGGTTGTACAGGTTTACAGCAAAGGCTGTTTTACATCGTCTTATCCAGTTATTCTCAACCAGATGTCCTTGAGGGAGTTCCAGGGGGGCTCCAGAAAAATGGGGAAGAGTTTATTTTCACTATTTAATTCAGTACTGAAGTGAGTCCTGCGTGAGTACGAGTCATAATAGGGACGTGTGCATTTGGTCAACTGGTCAATTAAATGTTGCTACCCTTGCTAATCAGCACCAGAACTACTAGTCACTTAAACTGAGAGTGTGTGTGTGTGTCTGTATTTGTGTGTGTTTGAATGGAGATGAGTTAGGACGTTAAAGACAAAAGAAAATAAATGTTATTTTGTTAATTGAGTTGTCATGTTTTGTAGGATAATGTGCAATATGCATAATGAACCATGCCACACATTTCAGCAGTATTTAAAATACAATTTGTTTGTTCAGCACTTCATTAACGATTTCTAATGGTTCTTATAATATACGCAATTTTTTTTCAGACAATGTTTAACCTTATGGATTAAATTGTGCTCAATTTTGACTGAGTGTTTTCTTACTTTTAGACTCGTTGACTTGTCAAATTTTGAAACTGTGGGAAATTTGTCACTGGGAACATCTCCAGTTGACAACTACAAAATTCTGGTTTTAATTATATCAAAGCGGGGTCCTGCTTGTCGGCCCTAAAGTAAAAAGAGAAATGCTGTTTAATAATCTGGGTAATTTAACTCCCTGGATTAAATCTGAGGTCACAAGTCTTGGTGTGATCCTTGGTTCAGATCTAAGCTCCAAGTCCCGCTTTAACAAGGCGACAGAAACATAATTTATCCACCTCAGACACATAGCCAAGGTACAGCCATTTCTAAATAAAAAAAATGCAGAGAAATCGATTCATGCCTTTATTTCAAACCGCCTCGACTACTGTAACGCACTTTTTACAGGCCTCCCAAAAAACACACCACTGAGAGACTTCAGCTCATTCAAAACTCTGCAGCTCAGCTATTAACCAGAACCAAGAGGAGAGCACATATCAGGCCAGTCTCAGCTGCTCTACACTGACTTCCTGTTACATTTATAATTGATTTTAAGCTCTTCTTCCTTATATACAAAGCCATACACGATCTGGGACCGAGCTACAATGCTAACTCCCTTGTTAACTATTTGCCTCCAAGAACACTGCGATCATCTGCTGCTGGTTTACTGGAGGTTTCCAGTAATAGCTAGAAGAAAATCGGGGATGCAGCCTTTGTCAGTTACGCCCCAAAGCTATGGAATACACTACCTATAGATATCAGAGAAGGAGCTCACTAAATATTTATAAAGCTAAAAATGTATCTGTTCACTTAAGCCTTTAACCAGCTCTGACTTCCTGATACAGGTCTGAAACTCTTCCTTTTTACGCTTATACTTTCTATTTAAGCTTCACGCAGCTGCAACTCTTTAAAATCATACTTGATTTGATGATTTACAGTTTTACAACTCCATGATTTTATGAATCAGTTCTATTTTGTTCATTGTATTTTCATGTCAAGCACTCAGTGCTTATACTGCCCCTATTGTAATCCACTTTGTACTGCATTTCTTCTATGAAAGGTGCTGTATAAATAGATTTTGTAATTATCATCATCATCATCATCATTATTATTATTATTATCATCATTATTACTATTACTGTTGAGATAACAAAAAAAGGTTGAGATCCACTGGTCAAATTGAACCTGGACTGGAGTAACACTGACTGTGCCAGATTTTAAAACTGCCCACAAATACCCAGAATGCAAAGCTTCCTCTGGGGCCACATAAGCCGTTATACAACTCCGAGTCCGGGTGTACAGTTGAGCCAACTTAGACCCCATACTCCCCCAGAATTGCTTGTAAACTCACAGTTGTTCATTATATTATTCTACTGTTGACAACAGTGTTTACCTGTGTGATCTCTGCCTCCTGTCTTCCTCATCCCTATAGCCCTGATGGTGTACTTCTCCCTCTGCTTCCAGTATCTCTTGTTCTGCTCCAGAGAGGCTGTGGTGAGGAAGCCTCTCCACTGTCCCACTGCACTGGGCACCTGAGCTCCCAGCTTGGCCTGAACAACCGCCTGTCAACACAACAAGCATTGCAGACTGTTTAGTAGCTGAGATGTTGTGATGATTCAGATCTCCAGTGTGCATATAAGGCAGTGGATGTTTACCTGAGAGGAGAGCAGGGCAGGCTGGGAAAGAGTCAGGGAGCGTAGGGCTCGAGTTAGACACGACACCGCCATCATAACAGCTTCCTCCTGACAGAGCTGGAGAGAAGAGGAGACAGTTTGACAGCCGGTAGTTATGTGGCTGCAGTTAATCTGTCTTTCCCACTACCTGGTGTACAACATTAGCTCGACTGTATCCAATACAGTCTACATACTTCTGCTTTTAATCCCGCTTAGTCTCATGTCTAACTATAACTAAAGGATTAAAATGAATAAAAACCGACAATATATCATTACCTGCTGCGTTTCAGATGTATTTCTGTCTCAAATATGCCTGTACTATCACCCTAACTATGCAGTAACCTTACCAAATGGCAAGTAAACGTGAGCTAACGCTACTTTCGCTTGAACCAAGTGAGACTAAACAGGCTCAAAAATACATCTTCCTTTACTTTATATTTTGAGTAAACTAAGCCGAATAGTCCGTTTGTCTCTTGTCTAATTTGTGATATAACCCAGAGTGACAGTAATATTACACCAACCTTTATATTTGACTTATTTCATCACAAGCTTCCCGTCGGCGTCCTTCACAGTCCCGCACGCCGTGTCGCGCACTGATGACGTATAATTCGGGCGCTGCTGTATTTTCATATTTACTGAAAACCACACTTTACAGGTTAAAGTTGACCATTTATAATATGTTATTTTTCCTGGCATACAAGGTATTTATGTCAGACTTTCATAGCACACACAGCACAGTAATATTAGCTAGATATATCGGCTTCTTTATTCTCTAACAGCTGGTTTCAATTACGCCTCTAGGTGGCAGAATTACCCTCTTACATATTAATGTAACTGTGGATGCTTTGCCATAAACACTATTTATTGTCTCTCAGTAATCTAATTTCAACACTTTCACTTTTCGCGAGGCGCATGAATTAAAGCAGTTTGTCATCTCATTGCTCAGATGTTCGCTTTTTACAGATTCATAAACAACAAAAATGTTGATTCACACTTTCAAAACTTAATACTGTCATTATGTGTAAACATAAAGTCTAGAAACAAAGAATACGGCTTGGTATTACGTGCAAGTGTGTGGTGCTGTGGATAATATGGCGCGATGACTATTAATAAACATGTCACAAGACAAGAATACACTGCAAGCCCTCTTTGTAGTTTGTAAATAAACTAAATAGAAACAGCTTCTAGTCCGTAATAATTGTCTAAGTTCATTATCACAGTTAGTTTACTTGCTTACTTTATACTTATAATGAAAATAGATCATTTTCTGTCATTATGTGTCATATAAATAATAATGAAACACTAGCAACATTTTTATTTTTTCATTGTTTTTAGCTGTGAAAGGAGAAAGCAAGATTTGTCATATCATTTTCCTTGGGGAAGGATTAAGTGTTTGTATAAATATTTGGAGCACTGGAATTATATTGAACTGGTAGAATTACTATAATTTTTTAGTGTTCACAAGTTAACCACCAGATGTCACTATGTGCTCTTTGGTTTTCTTTATGTGGTGGAATTTATAGGCTATTATAGTGTAATAGTCTGTCTTTAAATGTTAGAATTAGTCATCTTCTGTTTTTCTGATGCAGTCCCCTCTAATGTTGTATTGCTTCTTAAATGTGAATTGAGTATTGAGTATCTGAATTGACTTTACTACCTGTGGATCTTGTTGTTGGTCGGAGATGTTTCTCTAAAAAAAGCGATAATAACTGTGCTATACGTGCTTTATTTAAAAAAGAAATAGTCTCTCCTCTAAATGTTGTTACCTAGTGGAAAAGCCTCACTTCAGACGCGGTCTGGAAGAAAATCTGGTGCCCACCTTTTAAATATCTTATGACGAATAAGATTAAGGAAGTGACTTTTAACGCGATTCATCGTTTTTATCCCACCAAGGTATTTCTACAAAGATATAAATAGGTCTATGTGGACTGCTCATTTTGCCAGTTGATTCCAGAAGATTTGTGCCATCTATTTTGTCCCCATTAATGTATTTTTTTAATTTATTTTACTTTATTACATTTAATTACATTTAATTACATTTAATTTAATTTAATTTAATTTAATTTAATTTAATTTTATTTTATTTTATTTTATTTTATTTATTGGCAAGCTGTCTTTTATTTCCCAGTATACTGATTGAGAATTTTCCTTTTTTGTGAAATTGTATTGTTTGGCTTTTTTACTCACTCCTCTACCAAAGCATATCAGTACTATAATATCTATTTAATTCTATCTCATTACTTTAAAAAAAACAAAAAACCTCATGCTCCTAAATCTAAATTTTCCAGTCATATACCTGCTTTTTAAAATTTGTCACCTACATAACATTTCATAAGTTGATGTATGAATACTGTTACTGCTCTGATCCCCTGCATTCATCTTCTGTCATGGCCACAGTAACATTTACATATATTTGCTAAATAAAAATATTTATTATTTGAGACACCAATAATATTAGATAGATAGATAGACAGACAGACAGACAGACTGGCAAAGTGTGGCAAACAAAACATGACGTCACTATAATTAAATTCAGCCGCAGAGGCTTCTGGGAGAATCTTGCTGTGCTGGAGACATTTTGGATTTAAAGGGGCTGAGCTAGCCGTCAGTCCTAGCTCTCGGTAAGTGAAAGCTGTATTTTCACTAACTAATATTAGAATTGTGTGAACCCTGTATGTGACCGTGTGTTTAAGTTGTATTGATTTAATATACAGAGAATAAAAATTTTCAGCGCGGCGGTTTGAACGAGGTGAACTCGTAACAACTAAAGGGAGTGGTGATGCTAGCTGGTTAGCCGAAACTAGTCGCTAGCCGGGACGCTAACGTTATGTTAAACAGATGAAAAAGCAAGCTTCACTGTTCGCTGAATTAATATGTAGTCGTCCAGAAAATATATTAACATATTTAGTTAAGGAAGGAACGGACAAGTTGGCTTTTATTGTTAATATAGACCCTCGAGATGGAGGTAGAAAATCATAGCCTCGTTGCGAACTGCGAAAGTCATAACAAAATGAAATAGTGATCCTAATGAAGAGCGGCGCTCAGTACAACAATAAGACTGTCTCATCTGTTGTTGTGTGCTCTGGAGTAATTTGCAATGTTTAAAAGACTCTGTGTGTGTTACAAACATGTTGAGGTTGTGCAGAGTCATTAACACGTAACTTAGCTACCATGATATTAAATCAAATGTCTAGCATTGTGTTTCAACACTACTAACGTTACTTCATTGTAGGACAGTGTAGTGCAGTGTTAAAAGCACATGTGTCACATTTTCCTACATTCTACTCCCTTGGTTAGACAGATGCTCTGCCTGGTATCTCCTCCTGCATCAGTTGCAAAATTCAGGCAGAGATTTTTCATACAGCCATTAGTGGGGAAACAGCCCTCTAGCAGCTGGTCCCATTGGTGTGATGGATGACTATGGACAGTGTCAGTGGCACTTCCCTCCTGGTTGTCCCAGGCCCTGCCACACCCTCCTTGGTGAATGGATCTCCTTTGTGTCTGGTAGTGATGCACACAGTGTTGTTGGATTGCTGTTTGTGCAGGAAACAGAGGAAGATAAAGCGATCAGGTGGTGTCAAACTTCATCAAGTAGACAGGAAATGCCTCTCTAGGGAGATGTCACAGAGATCGGCCACTGGCTTGTTGATGCACGCACTGCAGTCTGCCCTTTTCCATTTCCTATGCTGGTATTTTACCATTATACTACCAACAAGCACCACACCCTCTCTTAGAGGGTCTGTTTCCATAGCTTGAGCTACGTTTTGTGCTTGCTTATTAATGACTTTCATGAAGGTTGTATGACCAATATTTAAACTTTTGGTTTGCTTAGAACCAACCTCACACAATTTTAAAGATGAAAATGGCAGCTTCAAGAGTTTTCCCCTGCCCTAAGGTCTGTACAATTGTGTGTGCAATTACACTTACACACAATTAGGGTAAGTCAGTTCATCCTATCCTTGGAGATCCGTAAGCAAAAGCACAGTTGACTTGAATGACTGGAGTGCAGTGATGATGATAGGGTGAGATCAGGAGAAATGAGGGTCTGAGCGATGATGGTGTTTTCCAGAGGGAGCTGTGATAATGTAAGGCCTGAGGCCTCTCTGGAGATGGAGACTAATGAAGAGTGGAGCTGGGTGAGCAAACACGACCGAGAGATTGCCCAGGTTTCCAACTGCTCAGAGGGATATAAAATAGTCAATAGAGAGTCCACAATGTTGTTTCTGTAAACATATAACCGTCTTTCATAACACCGTTCTCTCCTCTCAGGCATTTGTATTGGCTTCTGGGCTAGATGTGCTACAATTGCTGCAATATAAAGTGACCTTTGGTCCACCTGCAAAGTTGACTCATCTAACTTTCCCATAAAATTCAGTCCCTTGGGATCCACCTCATCAAAACAATGTCACATTCTGACTTTTGAGATTTTTTTGGCCACACAGAAGATTCTTTTGTATTCTTGGTTCACAAATTGACCATCCTAAATAATGTAAATAGAAAATATATTGCTTTAGTGTAGGCCCTCTGCATTCTAGCTCATGTTGAAATGTGGGAATACATTAATGCTTCTTTGGATTGATTTATCCCTTAAGGCCCCTGGACCTCAGGTGATCTATTGCAACAACTGACTTGTGCTTGAATCAGGAAAATCCAGTTTAATGTTGTAATCAGAAACTGGATAGTTCTCAAATAACGGCTATAATATTGAGCCCAGGAACATCACTGAAGAAATTGTCAGTCTGCATGGATACATATTTCTTGAGGTATAATGTATATGAGCTTTGTGCTCCTCTGTCATGTTGTAAATGTTTGCTGAGCTGTGAATGGTTTCTATCACTTTACGACCATCTGCTGAGTTGCACAAGGTAAATGGTTGGATTTGGGATAATGAGTGAAATTGGCTCACCAGACATTTCTTGCTTGAGCTGTGGTGAGAGTATAGGTCTGTGAGCTATAAATCAGTGTAATATTTTCACATATGAGGTATTATACCAGTAGGTGGTCAGACAAAACAGGACATTAGGCTTTTGACCTTGCAGCACATTTTGTGCCCTCAGCCTTGGTGGCATGTGACACTCTTTTTGTGCCCGTAAATAGTGTCATTGAATCCATCCCATTGTGTCTCATTAGTCCTATTCCTTTGTGTCTGATGAGAAGAGGAACAGAGTCTAGATCAGGATGGCTCCCTCCCCCATCCGACCTGCTCCTCTGCTCTCCTCTCCTCCTGCTGTGGGCGGGGCCGTCTCTTGATGTGCGCCCTGAGCTGATGTTGGTTGCTCTGACGGAGCAGTGGGAAGGTCATCATCATCCCGCAGCGAGCAGCTCTCATCCTCCTCTCCCCACCATCGGCACTCGCCACTCTCATTCCTTTCTCATTTCCATTCGCCTCCGCCTCACTCCGAAGGTTTTCTTTTTTCATTCTAAGGAGGATCACTTTGGATTAGCACAGCAATTTTATGATGCACTTTGCCAGGGTGTAGCGCTATTGCCGGAGGAGGAGTCATTATTTCATCAGCTTTTCACCGTGCCAAAGTATGAGGCTCTGATCTGCCACTGAAACCGAGGTTAGTTTTCTGGTCCAGCGGCTGAAAACATTGCTGACATGAGTGATAGATGGCTCGAGCTTTTAACAGGCATTTAGTGGATTTTGTAATGGATATAATGATCCAGTGAGAGTGTAGTTTGCCCCTTTTTCCATATTTTGTCAGTTTACCATCGTTTTACCTCATGAAGAAGAGCCATGACCTCTTTGCTTAGAATAAGTTGTTTCCCTATGGTACTATATGTCGTATAAACATGCCACTCAAAATGGTTTTAGATTGCAACCTGATTGTAAAGCTACATTTCACAAAATAATCCATCTGTTTCAAAGTATCAATAAGAGGCAGAAACATCTGTTAATGTCTTATCTGTGTTAAAATGGTAGGTCAGGTATCTCTGAGCTGAGGGATTTGTTGAAAATGGTTTCCCCGTGTGCCCGTGTTTACTTTTTGCTTCCTTTACGAAGGGAACATTTCCTTTTAATAGCTACCTAACTCGCTGCCACTGAAGCTTGACTAATACTCGATCATGATCGTACCCAATCATGAGGGCATTTGGATAAAAGCCCAAATCAAGTGTGCTGCTGTGTAGAGTAACATGTAACATGTATGCTACACAGTGAGTGCATGTTGCTGATGCACAGTTTGTCATGTCATTTAGTGAGTCTGCTGTATTACCTTTGATGCTGTCATTTGTTTTATGTGCACATGATTTGTATGAAACACGAAAGAGTAAATGTTAAAGATTAGGCTCACTCAAGGGCAATCTTTGTCAAGAAAAACAGCAGGCCTGTTGGACTTTATCTCGCCTCTTTAAAGACTTGGAAAATATTAACTTCAGCTGTCAGAGGAAGGCAGAAGTCCTTGATACAGGTGTTTGTGTGTTTTATCAAGGCAAAGCTGCTTGTTTTTCCCCTGCCTGACATGAAAGCACTTTGTCTCTTTGTTAGCTACTGTGTACACTGAGCTAGTCAGGCCTTTCATCCACAAAGGTGTTAAACTGCTGAGACTTAGAGTAAGTGTTCGGGCTGATAAGTTGTTTGATCTGTGAATATGCTTGATATTTCAAATAGATCATTTCCTATCTTGTTCGGAGCAGGTAAGAGCTCTGGCACCAGTTCTTGTCAGGGAGAAATACACTATGGGCCTCATTTGTCTGACGTATCTTCATGCAAAGATAGGGTTTTATAATCTCCTTCACTTTACATAGAGCCCACCCCTTTCTGTAGCATAAAGCTCATATAGCATGTGACTCTAAGTGCTGCTTAACTCAGAGCTTCATACAAGACAGTCGTCTCTTTGGCCATGCAAATAAGAGTACAGCTTGATTTGTTTGTGGCATTTAATCGACTTTTATGCAAAGTAGCAAGTCAGTTTTTTGTTGGAGCAGAATGGCTTTAAGTTGTCAATCAATCAATCAATCAATCAATCAATTAATTTTATTTATAAAGCCCAATATCACAAATCACAATTTGCCTCACAGGGCTTTACAGCATACAACATCCCTCTGTCCTTTGGACCCTCACAGTAGATAAGGAAAAACTCCCCAAAAAAACCCTTTAACGGGGGAAAAAATGGTAGAAACCTCAAGAAGAGCAACTGAGGAGGGATCCCTCTTCCAGGACAGACAGACGTGCAATAGTTGTCTGTGCTGTGGTCTATTTTTCCTTCATGTAAGATCTCCCAAAGCATGTTACTGCTTGCCTGTTGACTACTGTTAGCACATTTTACTGTTCTGCACGCATGCAACCACTGACTGTAAGCCCTGTGATCATTTTGTTTTTAGTGTACTAAACGTGCACACCATGACCACTACACAACCTCCGTAGTATGGTTTTACATACAGTGTTACATCTGAGTATGTGCTTGTCAGATCTGGATGCTTGGCCTAAGCTATGTTTTTTTTTTTAAATGTTGAAAGATTATAAAGGAGCACTGTGTAAGATTTAGAGGGACTTAGCAGCATCTACTGGTGAGGGTTGCAGATTGCAACCAGCTGAAACTTAGAATTTCTTCGGTGTTCATTGTCAAGGAGGTTTTTATCGGTTGCTAAATTATCCACAGATCTCCCTCCTTCTCCAAAACAAACAGACTAGGTGATTTAAACGGGTAAAAACGGTGAGTAAAGCAGTTTCACGTTTAAAAAATCAGTATTATCTCTGCTCTTGTCATGGAGGGGCTGCTAACTATGGTGGCCAACACGAAAACATGAATGTCCCTATCTAGAGCCAGTGTTTGGTTTGTCCTTTCTGGGCTGCTGTAGAAATATGGCGGTGCAACATGGCAATCTGTGTAGACGAGGACCCACTCCTTATGTAGATATAAATGACTCATTTTAAGGAAACAGAAACACAACACTTCTTATTTTCAGGTAATTATACACTGAAGAAAACGTCAATAAACCCCCCTAAATCCTACACACTGGGCGTTTTAAGCTAGCAGCAAATACAAGGTCACACTTTTTCTAGACGTTCACGTAGGAATATGTTTGATGATCTGAACTCTCTTGAGGTGGTTTAGAAATAGTGCATGTTAATATTTGATTTTTATTATTATGTTTTTTCAGAGACCCCCACTCTTTTCCATTTAATGTGGGATGAAAGATGCTAATAGATCATGTCACTGCTCTTCGCAGAAGAGGCAAGCTGTCTCTGTGAATTAACTTTTTACTGCTCTTCTGTTTCTTCCTGTAAAATGGAGGTAAAGAGATGATCGTATACGAAGTGCACTAAAATTCTAAATTGCAAATGAGAGGTGCTCAACGTTACCTCAGGGTACCATATCTAATATGCTCAAAATGAATTAGTCAGCACTGCTACTGCGTTTTAACAGCTTAAACAAGATGCTACCTGCTTTGCATCAGGTTTACTCTACCCCTCACTTTTGCCTTCGCCACATCGAGGCTTCAGGAATGTAACAGAAATTTGCATTTTTTGAAGTCTTTAATGGATTTAAGTAAGCAGGTTTACGAACCCAAGGATGGTGAGGCTTTTCATTGGAATGAAGGAAAAACAATATCATGTCAACTTGAGAGGTTTTCACCTGACATCTTCTCTGTATCCTCCCATACACTCCGTCGTCTGATGTTACCTGACTCTTTATAATTGATCACTGCTGCTCATGTGCCCATCCAGTGCCTGCAGCTGGTGGTACACTGCCTCCAATGCCGTCCTGATTAAAGCTCATTTCCACAGGCTGACTGACGTCTAGTTGGCCATTAGTTGGCTTCAGTAGCTGCCCCTGTGCGCTTGTCTAGTGTCGATCATGAAATATATTAGCATCATAAATAACACTCCCCTGACAAGAGCCCAGCTGTGAGTACATGATGATGTGGCATGCATAACATCACAGGAGGGACGTAATTACTGGATACTAGCAACAGACCCAGTTGGATGTGTTGTCTATGTTTCTGCCAGTGCAAATGTCCGCTGTAAAGCTGAGCCACACCACTGAAAACGCTTATGTAAGAAGAGGTCCTTGGACATTGAAGCAGACAAATTAAGGTGGGCAGCCATTAGAGCTGCAATGAATCATTGGACCATTGGTCAGACAAAACAAGACATTTGAAGATGCCACTGTGGGCATTTTTAACCATTTTCTGACCATTTTTTAGACAAACAACAAGTCAATTGAGAAAATAATCAACAGATTAATCAAATATAATGAAAATAATTGTTGGTTGCAGCCCCAGCAGCCATTTGAGATCATGTTGTGGTGTCTCAAGTCTTAACCCGGCAATTAATCGCTCACATTAAAGAAAAATCTTGTCACAGCATTTGCAGCTACATTAATTCAGGTCTTGACAACAAGGCATAGCAGTTATTTTCTCTTTTGTTGTCACGTTATAAAGCGAATGACTATATACTGCAGTTGTTTAGAAGTTTTGTTGGTCTTTTTATTTTCTCAGTGCTCTACTTAGATAGACATTTGCTGTTAATGCAAGTAGCAAAACGGGGAGTGGCTCTCTAATGGTGTAGTATATTTTTCTCTTGGCAGATGGCTCTCAGCTGGTGTTTATCACTGCAAGGCAAGCCCCCTCATCTTTACCATCTTATCGTCACTGCTGCTAAAATACAAAATGCACTAGCTCAACATTGCCAGGACCCCGCTCGGAAGGGCAGGGCCACTGTTTCGCACTGACATTTGCACGATGCAGCCAACAGTGACGTGGCTTAGTGAGTCATAGGTTATGTTCAGACTGTTTTGGGGAAAATGGCACATGTTCCATGCACTCACCAATGGGCTGACATTTCTTCCCAACACAATATTATTGACACTGAGTGCTATTTCTGTGACTCGACCAACTCCTAAGCTGTATTACTGAGGCTTTTGTCATGTCATCCTCTCCTTCACTCTTCAGGCAGTCGTGCAGCCAGCTCGAACTCTGTTTGGATAAAGTGCTGGCACCAGAAGGCACCCACACTGCAGCATCTGTGTGCCCTCTGTTACGCTGCAAGCTGCAGCCCTACTCCCAACCAGAGCTTATTATAGGTGCCAAATCCCAACAGTCTGTCTGCCAGAATAATATGTCCCTGTGGCCCTCGGCTATGCATAAAGCAAGCATTATACGCATGTCTTTGCTCTGTATGTGGCCATTCATTCAACCCCTGCAGCTGAGTAATTCACAAGACTTGGCTGGAACATGGCTCATGTGTTTTATTTAACAATCCTTCTTTCTATATCTTATTAAAGAAACGCTGACTTATCTCCCTCATGAAATTTGAATCCCTCAGCTCCCCTGTACTGATAAAAACACAAGTTAATTTTCCCTTTTTATTGCTGACGTGTTGCTCGTGGACCATGCTACAAACTCGGTGTATAAATGACTTGTCAGCATCAAGGACGAGGCTCTACACTGTCAGACACTGATATCTTTAAACAGAGAATGGAGTGACTTCTGTCATGTCACCCCAGTTGAGAATGTCTTAGATGGTTTAGAGTGTGAAGATCACTCGAAATTGAAGATGCTCTCAGTTAAATGGAGGAAAAGTCGAGACATGTTGTGACAGTTGCATTTCAGCCAAGCCCTCAGGTTCTGTTTGTGAATACCAGCGTTGAGGGAGCACAGCTGCATCTTTGGAAGACTGTTATGAAAATATCTTTTAACGTGGCAGCTGCTGCTCTTTAAATTATCCCACACTGTTCAGCGGGTTAGCGTGTTGTAACAGCTGGTTACCCTTTTTTTTCCAATCTACAGGTTTCCCTGAGCTACATACAAGATGTCCACCATGGTGTATCCGCGGGAAGAGAAGCTCGAGAAGCTCTCTCAAGAGGAGATCATCTCTAACACAAAGCTGGTGATCCAGGGTCTGGAGGCCCTGAAGAATGAGCACAACTCCATCCTCCACAGCCTCCTGGAGACCATCAAGTGCCTAAAGAAGGATGAGGAGGCAAACCTGGTGCACGAGAAGTCCAATCTGCTCCGCAAGTCAGTGGAGATGATTGAACTGGGCCTGGGAGAAGCACAGGTGAGGCGGGGTGGTCGAGGTTTGAGGAGGGCAAAATGTATTTTCCTACTTAATGAATAGATATAGTTTGATATGAGAAAATATTTAATTCTGTGTAGAATAAAGTAGGTTACAGTTCTTAATATCATACTGGGCAGAAAGACAGAACGTGGTTCACAATGTAGTACAAAATGTATATGCATTACTCTCTTCTACTTTGTGTGTTTCTGCTTCCTCATTCTAAACTGAGCTCGTGTGGTGACCATGATTCATTCAGAATCAGTCCCGGTTTGTTCTTTCCTTTGCCACTACAACTATTTGTCCCTGTTAAATGTCATTGCTCTTCAATGCTGTCTCTATCCCAGGTCATGATGGCCCTGTCCAACCACCTGAACGCAGTGGAGTCAGAGAAGCAGAAGCTGCGTGCCCAGGTGAGGAGGCTCTGCCAGGAAAACCAGTGGCTGCGGGACGAGCTGGCCAACACCCAGCAGAAGCTGCAGAAGAGTGAGCAGAGCGTGGCCCAGCTGGAGGAGGAGAAGAAGCACCTGGAGTTCATGAATCAGCTCAAGAAATATGATGAAGACGTCTCACCCACTGTAAGTACCGAAAACAATTACAAACACATCTTCAGATCAGTACTTGGTCAGTAATATATTTTTGTGAGCTCTGTTTGACACATTTGGATTTATTTAATTCCAACATGTGTTGTAGTAAGATTGTTCTCATTGTAACAGGATTCTTTACAATGTAATCTTCCTCTTTAACACAGTTAACCAGAAAGAGTTAAACTGACTTGACACACATTTCATTTATTATTGAGCCTTTGCAGTGAAATGGAGATGACTTGTTAGATTAACATAAGCAAAATGGGACAGAAATAGTCGGGAAATACAAATCTTGTGCAATTTTTATTTTAAATCTGTCTCAAAATTATTGATTTAACTCTAAAGGGCTGCAAACTGTCAATGATATCTGATACAGGAGATAAAAACAGCAGCATAGTCTTCCAGGAATGAGCCAGTCAGGTCAGGTCCTGATTGATCTAATGGTGAGGATGAATCGCTGCATACTGACCTTATTCTTAGTCACAAAAACAGGCTGTAATGGCCTGTATCCACTAACTGGTTGATGCAGGAAACCATCCTGCCAGCACCCTGAAGGATTCTTATTCTTGCTGTGAAAGCAGCTTTTCCATTTTGCAGATTTTAACAGGTTTCTGCGTTACACATTTAGTCATTTGATAGAATGCTGACATTACTGCTTCGTGCGAGGTTTAATATGCTGTATCGAAAAAAATACACCCATCTACGCTGACAGATATCTAATGGTATTCCATCAAATTATGCAAAACTAGTGTGTGCTATTTTGAAACCAAAATATATAAAATATTATTTCTCTGTCATGGTTTCTGATTTTTTTTTCCTCAAATGAGGACACAGGTTGAGAGCCTGACAGAGCAGATATGTATGCTGTTGTAGAAAAAAACGTTTCTGTTGGACTTAAATAAAATGTTTTAATGAACATGGGTTAGGGTTATCTTATCTGAATATTAGGTAATATTATCTTAAAAGACTCCTCCGTTTAAATGTTTAATAAGATAATAACTACATTACAGTGGTGCCAGATGTTGGCCTGTGATCCCTGCTGTCTGTTAGAGGATCTAATTGGCTGGTTTGTTTTTTGTCCTCTCAGCAGGAGGAGAAGGACCGAGAAACACCGAAGGACTCCCTGGACGACCTTTTCCCCAATGATGAGGAAGAGCATGGCCAAGGAAGTAAGAACAGTATTCAACAATTCATCATGACACAAAGACTTTACTCACCCATGGGACTTTAGACCATGATAACATAGCTATGACAGAGGAGCTTGTTTCCAAAATTTTATAGTCATCGTTAAAGAGCTGGTAATACATCTTTATCCAAAACTTTTTATAGTATGGGATGAAAACAAGTAATTAGTACTTTATGAGAAATGCAATAAGTAGAACAATTTACATCATGATGCACATTTTTATCACCAAAAAAGGCTATTTTCAATAGCAAGGTTGGCAATAAGTACACCTGCTTTAAATAAGGATAGATGCTAAGATCATATAGGCCCTATTTGGTGTCACATCCCTCTCTGAGTAAATTAAGATGACAATGCATCTAAGTCCAGGACACTAGGGTAGATAATGTTGTGTCATGCCACTAAATACTAATTGAATTACTCCTGTAATCCAGTTATTCCCTGAAGCAACAGTATTGTTTGCATGCAAATGTAGTTAGTGTTATAATCAGGTCAGAGTTTCCTCCCTTTGACATCCAAGCTGACCTTTGCCCTGTGCGTGTGGCCTCTGCACCCCACAGTGCAGCACCAACACAACAGTGCAGCGGTGGCTGCGGCCCAGCAGGGAGGCTATGAGATCCCAGCCCGCCTGAGGACCCTGCACAACCTGGTGATCCAGTATGCCTCCCAGGGCAGGTACGAGGTGGCCGTCCCCCTCTGCAAGCAGGCTTTGGAGGATTTGGAGAAGACTTCTGGACACGACCACCCCGACGTGGCCACCATGCTCAACATCCTGGCTTTGGTCTATAGGTCAGAAGTGTTTCTTTTGTTATTTCCCCATGTATCACATGTGTCATGTTGCCGTCCTTTCCACACATATTCTGTCAAAGAGTATGTAACAGTCTCATCACGTTGTCCTGTCTCTTCCTCTCACTTGTGCAGGGATCAGAACAAATACAAAGAGGCCGCCCATCTGCTCAATGATGCTCTGTCCATCCGTGAGAAAACCCTGGGCAAAGACCATCCCGCTGTAAGACTCCGCCATCGTCATGGCAAACATATCTTCATCTGGACATATCCATGCTAGATAGAGCAGATTCAGTCATCTGGTGTTGGTTCGTAATTGGTCGAAGACTCTATCAACAGGGAGGCAATAACCGTCTGCTATATTCACTGTTCACTCAGTCAGTCTGTATGGATTTTTTTCTCACCATTATTAAAGTATAGATTTGTGAACCTGTGCCTGGAGGCTTTACAGTAATCAATCACAACTGCTGAATGTCTGCTCATGCTTCTAGCATGAACCAGACCACTGAGTCTTAGCAGTTAGAACACAACGACCAATGGGAAATCATTAAAGTATACTACCTTTTTCATTTCCATTGTGAATAGATCTTTATGAATCAATTTAAGCTTTGGCACCTCATAAAGCCTAAAGGAAGCTATTAAAGCCCAGTGCTAGTCCCTGCAGCTCTGTGGGCTTTGCAGTTTGCCTCAAATTGTTGCTCCTGTCACTCAATGTGATCCTCGACACAGAAATAATGAAGCACAAAGGCAGGTTACTGCCACCCTGTGTAATCCAGGTGACTTTGAGGTGTTTGAAAAAACTGCTTGATTGAACAAAATACATTTTTAGGACTGCAGTAAATAACATTCTGATATTGTGAAACTAAACTGCCACTGTGACAGCAAAGCAGAGAAAGGAAATGTCCTCATTAAGTTTTTCTCCTTTTCTTTATGTCCAGGTTGCTGCAACGCTGAACAATCTGGCTGTGCTGTATGGAAAGAGGGGAAAGTACAAGGAGGCCGAGCCTCTGTGTAAGAGAGCTCTGGAGATCAGAGAAAAGGTAGGCCACATCCCTGGGTTGCACCGGTAGAGCCGTCTACAGCTCTGCTATCGAGGCCTCATCTCAAGGCTAATCCGGTGAACAATTAGCTCATGGTTATAAAGTAATTAACAGTGATAATATTTCCAAAATGTCAGCTGGAGTCACTGTAACACCAGCGACTATAAATAGGGAAAAGAGCAAATGATTTTCTTAAATTGTCTGTGAAGTTTCCGCTGGGGGCCATTCCCGTGTCGCAGGAGTTTAATTGAGAGCGTAGCTGAAATTGGATGGCAGACGTTGGGGAGCGAGGCAAGGATAGAAGGAGACATGACAAAGCTACAGAGCCCAGCAGGGCACAATGAGTGTCTCTTTGCCTGAAAGCTCTGTTCTGTACCCTCTCTATTGATCAGCCTTTTATTAGATCTCCTGAGTGCTTGCAGCAGGCAGACGTGCTGCTTGGTGAAAGCAGCGAGAGGTACAGAAGGGAGAAGTTCACGGAGAGAGCCAGAGGCACTGAGGCAGAGACACAAACTGAAATTTGAATTCAAAAATTTGCTTCTTGATTCCCCTCAGGTCCTGGGGAAGGACCACCCAGACGTGGCCAAACAGCTGAACAACCTGGCTCTGCTTTGCCAGAACCAGGGCAAGTATGAGGAGGTGGAGTACTACTACTGCCGCGCCCTGGAGATCTATGAGAGCAGGCTCGGCCCAGATGATCCCAATGTGGCCAAAACCAAGAACAACCTGGTGAGAGACAAGTGAACACCACTGCATCAGCTTTTATTGAGCTTCTTTTCCCTCTTCCTTCAAACCCTTTCACCTCTACACTATACTTTTTATTTGACAAGAATTACAGTCCCTATTGAGCCATGAACATACCAAGGTAAACACAGGCAGAGCGTAGTTTTATTGTGAGCAGAATCTCTCATTTGTTCTGTCAGCCTGAGTGTCTCTGCGGGGGCGTTGGGCATGTAAACTGTAACTGCTTTCAGCCTGCAGTTCTTCCACTTGAAATGTCTTTCAAAACTCTATTGTATTCACCTGATGTTTTTCAGGTTCACACCACACCTGGCTTTACAAAAGGGGCATTTTTTATCCAACACATGCTTTTCTGAAATAACAGTTATGAAAGGAAGCTGAACATAACGTTATTTCACTCTGTCAGCACAAGTACCGTCATCTTCAGAGGTGTTTGTAGAACAACTGTGTTCAAGGGCATGTCAACACTGGGATGGGGGCACATACGAAACAAGGGGTTTGTTTGAGTGTTAGGCAAATAATTTTCTGCGTTCTGGTGAATTTCTATGGTTACATTTTTGCTTTTCTGCATATGTTTATGTTGGAAATGTATTCAGTAGATTCAAAATAAAAGTCCTCTGCTAATAGGGTACCAAGCTCCTAGTCCCTTGCATACTGCCTTGCCTCTTCTACTTCCTGTCTTGTCTCTCTGATGATGGAGTGGCTAGAAGGAGACAGTAGGGGAGTCTCTGTGGTACTCCATCATTTTTCATGAGTCGCAGTGCACAGGAGAAATATGCAGACCTACTGCTTCTGCTGTCTCAGGGGGCACATTGTGAGTCAATAGGCTCATTTGATCCACCACTAAAATGTGCTTTCTCTTCTCTTTGTTCTTCAGGCGTCCTGCTTTCTTAAACAGGGGAAATACAAGGAGGCTGAGATTCTGTACAAAGAGATTCTGACTCGTGCTCATGAGAAAGAGTTTGGATCTGTTGATGGTAAGGCCTCATAGTAGATGTTATGGTGTACATGTGTAAAGGTAATTTCTTTATTGCTGTGGTTGAGATTTTTTTTCGATCAGCCTAGAAATTTATCCCAAGAATGGTGGCGGGTCACATCAAACTTCCCCTCAGACTAGATTTGCTTTGTTGTTATCACCTTTCCTCTGCCGTTGTCTTATCATCCATCTACTGTTTGTCTCACACCAGCGAGCTGAGTGAGTGATGGACAGATGGGTTAAAAAGTGGACGGTACTCTAAGCAGGGTGCCATCCTTCACCATTCAGACGACACAAAGACTCTCTAAAGAATAAAGAGCACATTTGTCTGAAAGATGAACTTTTGCAATTTTCTTCTCTCTTAGTTTCAGTTCAGCATTTCGTTGGGCTTTCCTCCAGGGATTAGATTGACTGCTTTGAAAAAGGAATGAAAGGGACTCGGCACAATGAGGCTGACGCTTTTTTTCTCTGAGAGGTTTATTTTCTATGTGTCACTTAACTTGACAATAGCGCTCAGATTTTTTTAAACCTGTTGGAGAGTTGGAGAGTTGAAGGTTAAGGGAAACAGCACAGCAGCAACAGTTTGTGTCCCTGGGAATGAAAGAAAAGGTTTATATTTTAACACAAGTGAATGGTGTTAATATCTTTAAATTCTGACTTACAGGTGCGATATTTGTTTTTCAAATGTATATTTAAAGGTACACTATGCAGGATTTTCCTAAAAAAAGTAATCCCTCTCAGTCATCACTTAACGACTGACTGGAAGCGTGTGGCAGTATTTATCTGCCTGTATTTTCTTATTTTCACAGTTGAGTGTAGGACTTTAAAAAGAGGTAGCAGCGAGGTGCAGCAGGGATCCAAGAGGAAGCTAGGAAATTTGCAGCCACATGGCCGAAAAAACACAAATATAGCAAGGTTTAACACCAACCAGACAAAGTCAGGGTTGGCTTTCACATTGCTTTATGCGTTTACAAACAGTAACCAGCAGTTCCTGCATAGTATACCTTTAATGTATCTTTTCCAATGATGGTTACTTGTAAATGTTTAAGTGTTTCTAGTATCAAGTATCTGACAGTGGTGTGTGTCACTTTAGATAGCATGGTTTGTTTATAGTGTTTTCTGTTTTGAGATCTGTGGAACTATTTCTTTCTTAATTTATTTGGGGAATAACCTGCAGAAATGTATGTGAAATGATGAAACTCAAAACAAAGAGGAGGTACTGTACTTACAGCATTACTAAATAAACTCAGGGGAATTTTTTTTTTTTTCGAGTCAGTCTTTATCATTAACAGCTGTCTTACACATTTAGCCAGTGTTAAAGGCTGTGTCCACCAAAGCCTTTTATTTATTTTCCTTTTTAAATCTTTGCAATGAGAGTATGGTGTTTTCACGCTATGCTACAAACTGAGGTACTGAGCATCTATTCTGCGCTGAGCGGTGCCCATCTGACCTTTTTTTCTGACCTCTGAGAATTGAAAAATGTTCAACTTTAGGAAAACCATGCTAGTCTCTGTCACTTTTAACCTAGCTGTTTAATCACAGTGAAGGAGGGACGAATACTACAGAGACCAACTATTAAATCTTACATGTACAAATGCTGAACAACAATAACAAAGGAGGAGAAATATGCTAATACATTGTATCTATTGATATGTTTCCTCTCATGAACCCACATAAACTGGGGGGGTTCATCCTCTTCCTCCATGCTTCAGCCTCCCCTTCATCCAGAGCAAGTCCTTTACCTTGCACTGACATTTTTACTTTGACAGATATTTCGTATCATAGCAACCAGACACAACCAAAGCATCTCAGCTGAAAAAACGCTGCACCTCCAAAGCGCTTTCTAGCTCTCCTAGCTGGGCGTTTCCTGAGGAGCAACTGACATATTCAGCTGGGATAAAAATGCTTTGGTGAACACAGGGCCATATAATATTTATAATATTTAAAGGTCTAAACAGAGCATGTCTATGCCAGATTTCAGGATTCAGTAGCAGCTTCTGAAAAGTATTGTCTCCCTACAGGTATATTTGACAGAATAATAACCAAACTGTAGCACTGAGTTACTGATTTCCCAGTCAGTAGAGTATTATGACAAGCTCAGCCTGCATCATGAATAGTTCATGGTGGATTGTGTGAAAAATCCTGAGGTCGACCAGTGAAGTTGTTTTCCAGTCCTGTTGAACTGTGTGTAGACCACCTCTCCTGTCTGTCTGTCTGCAGCCGAAAACAAGCCCATCTGGATGCATGCAGAGGAAAGAGAGGAGATGAGCAAGGTGAGGGCTTTGTGTAATCAACCTCATGTCATTCTGATCAAAGCCAGAGTAAATACTTAAAGCACTGCAAAGTAAATGAGAATGTCAAATGGAAGGTTGTGACACAGTAAAACAGGTCTGTGTACTTCCTGGAAAATGAAATAGAATCGTTTTTTCAGGGCACCTTCCTTCACACACACAATATAAACCCCAGTGGGCATGTGATAGTTTTATGTAAACACAGGAAGAATGCTGATGATCCAGTTCAAACTCACCACACCCCTTCACGCTCTTTTCTTCCTCTTCTTCTTTATTTACTTCCAGGGCAAGCACAGAGACAACACTCCATACGGGGAGTACGGAGGCTGGTACAAGGCCTGCAAAGTCAACAGGTGAGGCGGGGCATGAAAAGAGTGTTTTTACAACTGGATCATAAATAAAGGCACGCGGTCAAAGCCAGAGATTAATCCCTTCATTCTTTTATAAATGTGTGTAGTCAATAAATGTAGAAAATCTTTTTATTTTTCTGTTTTTTTTTTCAGCTTTATCTTTTAGGAATATCCCCAAATCTGCAAAAATTTTCAAGTAGTTTTCTTAGGCTTTTATGGTTTTTAAGCATTTTCCTTCACTCTAGTACATTCCAGTTTGCTTGGGTGAAATTGTTCCTTAAATGACCTTTGGGTAAATAATGGTGTGGGTCTCTCTACATCCAGCCCTACAGTGAACACCACCCTGAGGAACCTGGGGGCCCTGTACCGCCGACAGGGCAAGCTAGAGGCTGCCGAGACCCTGGAAGAGTGCGCCGTGAGGTCTCGCAAGCAGGTCAGCAGCATTTCTTTCAACTGCAAATGTCCCGATTCTGCATGCAGACAACTTACCAGTTCCTGTTTTTGTTTATTCCTAAATTTGTCCCCTCAAATCTCATGATATTTCTTTCCCTTTCTCTACAATGCTATGGATCCAGAGCAACACAGTAAGTGGTTTGTCTCTAACTGATAGACCCCATAGAGCCTCCACCTCTCTCCCCTAACATCACTCCCATCTCACAGACATTTAAAATGCTCCATTGTCACTGTGATGTCACTATGACAAATACATTAAACGAGACAGAAAACATAAAATCCCCTTTAATACCTCCATTTAACTACACTCTCACCCTTATCATCGAGCTAATGTCTACCCCTTTAGCTAACTCTAATAATGGTGTGTGTGTTTGTTTGTTTGTGTGTCGTGCCTGTGTGTTATTCCCATCAGGGCATTGACCCCATCCACCAGACACGTGTGGTGGAGATCCTGAAGGATACAGACGGTGACAGGCGGAGGAGCAGGGACAGCCTGAGCAGCGTTAAGTATGAGAGCGGCTCTGAGACCGGCGAGGAAGTGAGTATGGGCGTGGAGTGGAATGGGGTGAGTACAAATCCACTATAGTTGAGTCAACATGGCCGGTGACCTCACTGGAAGGACAAGGTGGTGTTAGCAGTGTCGCAGAGAGTGTGGACTGGTACAGAACATCAAATTTACACAATTAAAAATGAAAGAAAATGACTTGTTAATGACTTGGAAGCAGACTCTCCTGGCTCCTGTACCTAAATGTTACTCAAGATACAGTTACAAGTTACAGACCTTCAGATCCTCCTGAAACTTGTAACTGTATCTTGAGTAACTGGTTCATGATTTCTGGAAAGAGACATTTCTGTTGAGTTTTTCAAAAAAAAAAAATTGGTGCTTTGAGCAGCACATGCAGATTTCCATCTAGTTTTATTATATGGGAGAAAAGGCAGACATCTCTACAGCCAGTATCTCCTACACACTCTGCAGCTCACACCAAAACAGTCTGGAGTGGAATAAAGATAAGGGGAACAATATGTATTTTTGATTTAAGGCTTAAACTGTCCCTTTAAAAAAGCAATCAGAGGAACAGCTGCTCATTCCCAGTTATTGATTTGGCTGCACTCAGTGACCTGTATCTGCACCAGTCCATCCACTCCTTATAGATGCACCTTGTTCCTGCCATGAGGTCGGCATTGAAATCTTTATTTTTGCAAAATGTAAAGCTGATTGAGTGTCTTGGCATGCTGACCCATTGTTTATGAAAGCATCTGAGTTTGCTTTGGACTAGATGTTCATGTTTTTGTTGTCTATTGCTTGACAATGAAGTCCTCGTGTCTCATTTTAATAAGTGGTTGTTTTGCTGGCAACGCTTCTGCACAAGTGGAGCGGTAACAAAAAGGCACAAGCTCATTCTGTGGCACCCTGGCAGCATATGAAATATTTATTTGCTTTTGTGAGGCTCACAGAGATACAGCCTGTCTGAGTCCCTATTAGGATGTGTCATGTTTCCACTATTAAACACAATTGACAGGGTTCCCAATATCCTGGATGCTTATGCCTCCGTGCAGTAAACTGGGAGGTTGATATGTAATGGTTCATCCTGCTGGTTTATGGCCTCATTATAAAGTCCATTCTGGCTGTGTCTCAACAATCGTTAGTGTCATTTCGCCACAGGGCTCTTATTTTCCTGCACAGTGTTTCCCATTGGACTAGTCACCCCTCTGGTCGTTATTAAAGAGGTCGGTGCTGAAAACCTGTTATTTGCTATGGCAGTGCATGCAGTCAACTAGACACTGCTGGAGCCGTGTCCCAGCTGGAAGGATCCCATACATAAGCCAGAGGGCAGGGTTGTGCCAGCAGAGATGCCTCGTCTGAGCCTGTGCCACTCACCTCACTTAAGTGCAGCCAAGCCCTTCACCGCACCACCCCAGCACAAACATGCATGTAGCAACGCCAGCCTGCCGGGCTCACCCCTTAACATGCATACTAATGGACCATGTGTGTTCACTGTGTTTTCACATGGTTGATAAATGTCTTAACCTGAAGTCTGCTGCTCTCTCTGAGTAACATACAGTAGAAAGGTGGGGTCTTGTTTGCTGGCTGTTGTGTGAATGTGAATGCTTCTCTACACATATGTTCATATGCATAACAAAGCACACTGCTTTAAAATTCACTCCAGCGACTGCATCAGCATGCATATTCACCCGAGCGTGCACCTGTTTGTGTTTGAGATGTGACGGTATGCAGAGCCATGCTGGGTGTGTGCAAGCATTTTATTATCCATGTCACGACCATAGCAGTATTAAATTAATTAGATTAAATGTGCACAGTCGAAATAGGAAATGTGCTCAAGAAGTTCTCATGCTTTCAAAGACTGTGTCTGAAAGCTAATTTGTCACAAAACATTTAAGCTTCTGACTCAAATATGCTTAACAAATTCCATCAATCCATTCATTTACAAAGCTGCAGTCATGCGTAACTACAGCTTGGCTATCTTCTGTTTTATATACAGGCCTGTGAAGTCCTGTCTGCGTGTGTGTAGATATTTGCTGAGAGATGATGTGATAGGCAGGTCACAACTATCACTCAGCTGCTAGCTTTGCCCAGACATTTCTTCACTCTGCTCTCGGGGAGTCTGAGATGTCACTGAAGCTATAGCAGTGGTTAACTTACGCATACAGCTGACACTGACAGTCCACTTCAGTATCCTGTATTTGAACAAATAGCTGCTGTTTCTTTATCACATTTTTCAGATGGGACTAATGTAAGTGCCTCATTACAGGAGCTCATTTACTTAGTGGTGAACACACGGAGGTATAAGGAGGTAACGCTGAAGAGATGACAGCAAATTTGTGGTTGTGTTAAGGTTAATTAGTAGTACGTATGTGTGTGCCTCTATGCATGATTTCATTTACAAGTATGTCTGCAACTGCTTTTTTGCTCCCAGCTAGATGCTTCAATGTGCTGCCTGTTTGTTTGCATGTTCTCTAGATTTCATCCTCTTTCCTTCCCTACGTGTCACTAACCTACTTCCCTGTTGATTACTTTTGCCATGACAACCAATCAGCCTGTCAATCAAATTTCCTTTTCTCACTCAGTGGATTGTACTCTCCCTCTTGAACTCTCATTCCACACAATACGCTTGGGTGGGGTTGGTAAATAGTGACATAATAGGTAGACTAAGTAATTAGGTCATTAGTCATTAAGGTAATTGAAATCAGGGCAAGCCGAGGCTAGTACTGAGGAAGGATTGAGATATCAGTCATCAGATACAAATGCTGCTTTAGGGAGTTTTAGTTTTATGCAGTATTTCTGAATTAAAAATGCTATACACAGAGATGTGATTCACATTGTCCATCCCTCTTATCAGTGTAATGGTTATATCAGTATGCCCCTCTCAGTGCTGATGCCTGCAGATGTCCCACGTCTGCAGTGCACAGTCACTGACTCGGCGCAGTGTGCCAAGTTCAGGCTCACTGGTTCGCAGAGAGGAAAGAAAAACAGCTGAGTCACGGTGACTGCAGCCACCAACCTACTGCATCACTGACCTGCGTGTTGTAGCGCAGCTCCTAAGACAGCTGTAATGTTTCAGAGAGAAGCACAACTGCTGTGCTGCTGATATTTCACACCATTTTTGTTTGCGTAGGATCCCTCAGCTGGTGTTTACAGAAAACTATAACCAGACCCTGAGCTGCAGTTAATACAGTAAACATGGTGCAGGATAGACAGTTGTGTAGCAGAGCAGTTAGGTGGAGAAAAGGGATGAAGCTCAGATTTCCCAGCGTGTAGGTGTGTAGTGTAGGAAGCCCAACCCAAAGCTCTCAATCTTACAATGTGTGCCGTTTTTGTCTGTTTCTCTCTTTCTCTTTTATCAGGCCTAAGCCATCAAGATTATTCCTCCATCCTTCTCTTCTTCCCCAACACAATAGCAAAAGGATGTGTGTTGTCGTTCCCTCTGGCCTTCTCTGTCCCAACAAACCAAGAGCTCCTCTACCATTCCTGGTGCCCCCCCCCCGCGGCAGAGACTCAGAAAGCCCCCCCTTCCTCCCAGTTGTCACCTCTGTCAACCCTGTTCAACTGACAACTGCTGGGACGTTTGGTCTTCTCCTCTCTGCTCTCTTCTTTCCTCTCTTCCTTTCACTCTCTGTATCCTTTCCTCTCACTAACCCCGTGTCGTCCACCATGTCAGAAATCGTTACTTCGACTCTTTCTCTCACTTAACAATTTAAAAAAAAAGTCACTGTGTGTGAAATCTTTTCCCTGTGAGGAAGTCACTCGCACATTTTTCCTCTCTGCAACACCCATTTGTAATTTTTCATAGGTGCATAGATCTTTTTGGCAAGATAGAGGAGCAGGAAAGTATGGAAGACCATTTCCACTGATGTGATGAAGAGAAAGATACTCTAATGAGATTGTTTCTGAAAATAATGACTTAGTGTTGCAAAAATAATTAGAAAAGTCCTTTAAAATAATGAGATAGTGTCTCAGAATAATGACCTATCTCAAAATGAGACACTTGATCAAAATGACTTACCTGTCCTTTTCTGGAAATAATGACTAAATATCTCAAAATAATAAGAAACTCTCTCAGAATAATGACATAGTATCTTTTAAAAATGAGAGACTTTTGTCAAAATGATGAACAGTAACTCAAAATAATGACTTAGTATCTCATTACTCATTCTTTTGAGATTTTTTTTCAGTATGTTGTGATACTAAGTCATTATTTTAAGAAAGTTTCTCATGATAATACCTTACAGGATGTTTTTTTTGTCACGTTGGTGGTAATAGGCCTTGATTGAAAAGTAATTTATAAGGTAAAAGATGAACGATTTTGAGGATTAGCCTTCGACAGCAGCCTCGGCACCAGACATCACTCCAACCCACAGTCAGATAAAACGTTACAATCACTATAGAGTTAATATATATCAAGATGAGTCATTTTCACAGTTGCTCTGCAATGGTCGCACTCTGAATACTGTTTGCACTCGCAGCGCGTTTCTACAAGTGAAAGTCAAAGCTAGCTTCCAACCTGGTGCCTGTATTTAGCCATTATAGTATTTTTATTTTAAATTAAGTTTTGATTTCCGTTTTAAACTACCTTAACAACAGCAAGATCGAATGCCTAAACAGTTTGGAAATTAATGGTACTGTATAATTTCACGTGATAATCAAGATATGTAATTTCTTTTTAACTTCTGCTGCCTAGTTGCGGAAAATGAGAAGGGAGTATCGCCATTTTTGTTTTTATAGATATGTTTTATTTCATTTTTGTATCATTTTGTTTACATTTTTTTAAAACGTTGATTATTTTGTGGCTGAATATTTAGGCAGTGAGTTTGTCAACAGTGCCGCAGAGTTGCCTGTTGTGAAAGACCAGAAGGGCCAACATCAGTTGACAGCAAATTGGTCAGATCACAGCGAGCTGTTGTTGTCATGGTAATTTACTTTCAAGTTGCTCTTACTGGCTTCAGTGTCCTTGGATTGATAGATGATTCACACAGGCTCTATACGCTGGTACAATATGTACACAGCAGCTTGCATTTACAAAGGGAATTAGCAACATTGGCTGATGCTGTGTGTGACGGCAGAGACCAACCGGAGCATCGAGCACAGACGCTGGCCACCTGAGAGATTGCTTAAAAAATGGTAGATTCAAAATCATGGACATAAACGCCCAGAATTGCCTTTATCTGTTGGTGCAGGAGTAGAGCTAGTGTTATTATTGAACAGAAGTCTGGATTCACAGTAGTTTTAGTGTGTATTTGTGTATGTTTTGGTGGTACAGTCACAGTGCCCACTCTGGATATGGATACTGTATTTTGAACACAAAGCTTAATGGAGTGTGTTGCCTTTTTTTCTTAACACAGTTGTTTGCAAGTAAACATTGTCACTCTGGTGAATCCATGTTTTTAGACACCGAAAGTACAGTGCGAGTGTTTCCTCAAGATCGACATGTTATTTCAGATGTGTAAACTAACTGAATGTAAAATGACTTTAACATCTTTAAAGTGTAATTGTAGGCTGTATTTATAGATTTGACAAGTGCATTCACTATACGGCTTTTCAGTATGCTACTTGCCTTGATTCTTCATTCCTTCCAACGAGTACACCTATACTTCTAATGCAACTCTGAAGAAAAGAATTGACTATGTACATCACATAATTATGACAATATTGTTGTGTTAGTGGAATGCTTATTTATTGAACTGTCTATTCTTGACATATATAGTGTGACTTCAGTTTCCTAAAGTGGAAGAGCATAAATGGTAAGGACTATAAGCACTATCTTAGTAAGTAGGACTGCATTATATTTACCATTCTGCATTGTGAAGATTATTGCATCAACACTTGTTGGTATTCTCAAATAAAGTTTTTCATTTGTGAAGTTTGGTCTTTTCACTGCATCAGATGGAGACGTCTGTTTTAATGTGACATCAGTAGAAACAGATTCTTAGAGGTTTCATCTCTGGTGGCGACTGCAGAGCCACCCAGTGGGTCAGAAATATTTAGTCTGGCATATTCATGTAAATCATTTGATTTACCCATAGTTCCCCCTGCTGGTGATAAGCCTGTATTACATTATAATGAGCACACTTAACACTCCAATACAGGGATACTCAACTTGCTTCGCCCAGGGGCCAGTCGCAGAAGCTTCGCTCAGGTCAGGTTAATGCAGGTTTCTGGGATTTGAGGACATTTGGGGCTTAGCCTGAGACTCTGTCTGGGGTCAGTGGGATCCTGCCCTGGAACTTTATTGAGAAACAAATTTTGATGTTTTCTGCATCCTGGCAACTTATTTATATTGTATATTACTATAAAGTGGAAAAAAACAACAACCGATTTTGAATCAATTTAGTTTCATTGTGAGTTAGACAATGGTTAGGGGGGCACATGGTACCCTGTCCTGGGCTGCTAGTTGAGTATCACTGCTCTAGTATTTTGTTATGAGGATGGTACACAAACTGTGTCCACTTGTTGGTTAGTAATTAAAAAGCACACTTTGTAGGATAGCCTGTACATGACAAGCAGTAATATTAAAATGAATGGATGGATGGATGAATCAAACACTTTAAAAACGGTTGATTATTCTTCAAATCAAATTGATTTAAATTTAAAATTAGATAATCTGCTGGTTGGTTTTTAGATAAATTGATTAATCGTTTGGTCTAAAAAATCAGAATATAGTGACAGGTGTCCATCACACTATGCTAGCCCAAGAATGGCTGTAAATAATCCAGATTAAAGGAATATTTTACCCACAATTTAACCATTTGTATATCAGTTACTCACCCCATGTTTCACTGAATTCAGGAAGAGGACTTTGTTTTACTTGCATACCTCTACAGTGAACGAAGAATCCAAAAACAGAGACAATTCTTGATGAATTAAAGTAAATGGGGGCCATGTTTAACAACAGCAAAACTATGTTAAAACATCTGTTCACAAACCTGCACATGACTTGTGCAGCATAATCCAAGTCTCATTTATGTAATTGTATGCTCAGTACTTCCCAAGCATAGGCATTTTCACTAAAACTTTACCATCTAAAACACTTCCACATAGGAGTAGCTCTACTTCGTGAAATGTATCAGTAGAGTTAAGAAGCACTAGCTTACCCAGGTGTGCCACTCCCCTGTGTGTGAGACGGTTTATGCACAAGTGTTTTAAATCGCAATATTTTAACAGAAATGTGTGTGTTTGGGACATACTGAGCATACAGGAGACATAGATTATACTGCACGAGAGGTCATCAAGAATTTTCTCCATTTTTTGGATTCTTCGCTCACCACAAAGGCATGTGAGAAAACCATAGTTTTCTTCACCAGTTCGAGGTAACACAGGGTGATTAAATGATATATGGATTATCTTTTTGTGGGTAATGCATTCCTTTAAGAAGCTGACATGAAACAATGATTTGCATTTTTGTTTTAAAGAAATGATGAATGACTTAGATCATCAGAATAGTATCTAATTATTTTTTGATAATCACTCAAGCTCTAGTTACTGTAGATGAAAAATAACACACAGCACAACCATTGGACCACAATCAGCCCTTTACACTAGTGACCATGCTCGATGGATGTGTAAACTAAAATTACTACAGTTGATTCTTCAGATGTAACTTTACAAAGGCTCATTGATGGTTACAGAATAATAATAGTAATGACAATTAGATTGAAAGGTCATATAATGCCAGCATTGCATGCTCTCATTAATATTGCACACATTCACCTAATTAATTGCTCTTTAAATAATGTATTTCACATATAAACCCCTTTTTTTGTGAGGCTACATGCGGTTTTGCTGAAACTGGCCAGCACAACAGAAGAAAAAGATGTGCACAGATTTGTGTCTCCCACATCTCCAGTGCAGGAACGGATGGGTTGATGATTGTGTGTGTCTGCAGGACGGCAGCGGAGCCCTTCAGCGCAGCGGCTCTCTGGGGAAGCTCAGGGACGTTCTACGTCGCAGCAGCGAGCTGCTGGTGAAGAAACTGCAGGGCAACGGCCCACCTGAACCTCGCAACACCAAGTAAGAACAGATGAAATTCTCAGATGAGAGCAGTTATTTAGAGCAAATTATCTTGTTGAAAGAGCAAGTCCATTTATATAAGTTTGGACATAAACTCCCCAGCTCCGTGAATGATACCTGTGCCCTGTTCTGAGATAGTGAATGAATATTTCTCACCTTTCCTTCAACAGCATGAAGCGAGCTGCTTCCTTGAATTACCTGAACAAAACCAGCGATGACTCGTTTCAGGTGAGAAATTGTTTGTACTAAGTCCTTTAACTTGTGTTAAATTTAGGCTGTGTTATTTGAAATGTTATGTTTTAACTTTAATATTGTTCCTCTTCTGTTTCTTTATCAGACTCGGGGAGGCAGTAACTTCAGGGAGAGCCGGGGCCTGAGCTCCAGCACTGTGGATCTCTACACTGGAAACTGAGCAGCAGGCGGTCTATCTGCTGATCTGCTCACCGACCCAAAGAGGCTCCTTCCTTCGGCTCCTTCTCTGAACTATACCCATCACCAACAACACTACCAGACAGCCTCCCACACACCCTCCCTCTGCCTGTCAGCATCTGACCCAAAGACTTTGCTGGTCATCACTACATATACGTTATAACTGGTGTGTCTTTTCCAGTTTGTTTTTAAATCCAGTTTGTTGCTTTTTTGGTCTTCCAGAGACACATTGCTGTAATTTTCCCTAATCGTGTTCCTAACTTCAGTGTCGCCTCAGTGCCTCCTAAATGTGGCCAAGGAAACATACCTCATGTCCTCCCCCTTATTCTTAAATCACTGTGACTCTGCACTTTCACATCATCTGTTGCCATAATGCCGCCTGTTTTGGTGTATTTCTCCTGATGTGGTTTTAATTTGTTTGTGCTCCTCAGATGTTTTGTGTCTTCCTTTGCCATTCATCAGTTTATTAGTGCACACTAGAAAAAGAGTCTTTGTAGATTTCTGTTTTCTCCAAAAATATAAATATGTCTGTTGGGTTTGAAATGACATGATGTAAAGTTGATATGATTACACTGTTAAAAAACAAAAAACAAAAATCATTTTATTTTCATTTTAATGATTTTGCCTGTTGAGATTTATCTGCAATGTGAGGTGTTGGTCAAAGCTTTGGCAAACAGGGTGAAATGTTTCTTACTGACATGAGCCGAGTCATGTAACCTGTTAGGTATAACTTTTTGTTCATACACAGTCTTGGAAAACTATTAGAAATTGAAATGGCTGCTGCTTTAACCTCCATAGCTTTGAGATCCAAGTGTGTTTTCCTGCACTTGTTTTTCTTCCATTGCAGAGCAAACACATGAGACGTTCATGGTCTCAGAGTGCTGACAAACACAACCACGAAAATGTTCAACTTTTTCGATTGTATATAAAAAATTGATGAGGCTGAACTGGGTTGCTTAATTAATCCTGGACATCCTGAATGATCTCTGGTGCCATGCAGGACTCACCCGCAGGCTGGCTGTGTCTATGTGACAGCCCACCTCTGCAGGTTTGAGCTGCCAACTGTGAGCACATTATCATATAATGTTTACAGTGATTAGAGTTTTTGATACGTGTCTAGATATGTGATGATGATAGATTTTTGCACAAGTGTCAGATGGGTGTCCTCTGTCTTTGATTGCATTTTAGTGAAGCTCAAAAGAACTGGAATGTCTTGTAATTAATTTTTCTGATTTTCCTTTTCCCCGTGTTTAATGTGTTCTTCCTTTCATCATTTGTAATAAATGTATAAAATAGAATCTGATCAAGAGTTCATGAATCGTAGAATTCATCAGTAAGCTAGCGGGGATAGAGTTGAATGTCGTTGAAAGAAATGAATGTGAATCTGTTTGGATTTGATTTTTAAACGATCCCATATGTCATATGATAGCAAATTGGAACCACTTTCTGATCTTGATTCAGAAATAAAACCAACAATTTTCTATTCATATTTGTGGTTTTTGTTATTTATTTATTGTATGTGGCTGATTTGATGAGTTTGGCTTGAAAATACTTGACTAGGTCATGACTGATGTTATGTCTTGCCCTGTCCGTAAACCTGCACTATATTACACAGTGAATTCCACCATGCGAGACCTCAAACGTCAGAGTCTAAGTAAGTGTGGGAACCCTGATGCCTTGCCAAGATGCGATATGTCTCCCAGAGGTTTCCCTCCTCCTTGTAGGAGTCAGCCCGGGGTTTCTCTGCTCACTGGTAATCTCTCAGTATGTCAGGGCTTTAATGTGGAGACTCAACCCTTTATCACTTCTGAGGGCTTTGAATTAACCAACCACAGGATGATTTCCTTCTACTGAGAGCTGACGGGCTCCTTCTCCCAGTTCACTTGGAAGCAAACAGCAAGTCAGAGTAGAGTTCATTAGTGCACTCAGAAACTTTTCTTGAAAGGTTTCTGTGAAAAACATTTTTGAATTTCATCATTACCACTGTGTGTCCTCCAGGCCTGCCTTCCTGTCACGCTAACACTGGTTTGACCCTGTAATCCCCCAGTTTGGTTGACTGCATGTTTTTATCAGCCATCTAGGTGCCAGCTGGACCAGCAGCATGGCACCAGTCCCACACACAGTGCCACCAGTGGTGCCAGCAGGGGCTGTCCCCTCATGGTGAGACTGATGTATTTGCATGGGCAGGACTCACATTTATTACCTGTCAGACTCTTCAGTGTACAGATGGAGCTGCTTGCCTGCTGGTTTAACAGCCATGAGAGCATCTTGAAAAACGCCTTTCCAATAACAGTACTGTATTAATTACAATCAGGGATGTTACACAACATTATGCTGTAAATTGTTAGTCTCTGCATACATAATCTACACACATAAAGGAACTGTAGAGCCATCTATAATAGAGGTGTTATATACCGCTATGTAGAATTATAAAGAAACAAATTTACTTAAACTAATTTTGATAGATTTCCATAGCATAAAATAGATAAAGTAATTGACAATTGAGTTTGCTAAGAAAAACCATAGTAACAAAATGAAATTAATCTCCAAATGATTTCATCACACGCACACTGGACTTAGTTCTTTAAAAAAAAATTATTTGCATGACATGAAAGTGTTGTGCATATGTGCAGTTCAAAGAAACAGTGATCGGGTTGATCCAGGGGGTCGCACTGTTGTATTCCTTATCCCAAGCCGGGTACGGGCACCGGAAGCTGCTCTGTAGGGAAAGAGGGAATACATGTGAAACTACCAGAGACATACGCAACGAGACAGGATGTTTGTTTTCATTTCAAAACAAAAGGACATCTTAATTTTTTTTGTGCATACTCAACTACGGAGCAGTTGAAACTGTTGAGAAATGTCTGTACTGATTAACTAACTAATTTTTTAAATAAAAGTCATGAATGACGACCTATAGAATAAAATATGATATATAAATAAACACATAAATTACAATAAAAAAATATATTATATATATTTCTTATTCTGAAGCACATATAGCTCTTATTCTTGTTTCTATTACGTAGCATAAGGCATATATTTTTATATTTCTAAACTTTACATACTAGTTTAATACATAGGCTATTAATGTAACATAAGGCACATATTTTTTTAAAATATTTTTTACAGACTACAAACTCAACATGTTACACATATTTCATATTTTTAAATAGTTTATATACTAGTGTGAAAATAGAAGCACAGTGCACATTATTATTATTATTATTATTATTATTATTATTATTATTTTTACATTATTCTTACTTTTATACTTTATTATTCTAACGAATCACAATTTTACCCCGGGGATCAATAAATTATTCCTGATTCTGAGTCTGAAATAGAAATATTAAAAATAAATTAAAATAACATAAAATAAAATGTATGAATAATTTCAAATATATATTACATATTGTAAAATGTGAAAGTTTAATATAGGGTAAAGGTTTATGCCGCATTTTTTAAAAAAAATATATATAAATATATAAAAATGTAAATATAAACTATAGACTATATAAATGGTCTTACACTGCATGAAAAGACAGTGAGCCAAACTAAATTTAACTAAACTAAACTGAAATAGAACAACGAAAAAAATAAATAGATACACAAAAACCTAATAAGTAAATAAACGTTTTCCACCTTAGAAAGCAGGCTACAGTTTTAAAAGAAATGTGATCACGAATACTAACATTTATTTTGAAAATCCTCACCGGAACCCTCGTACATTGTTTCCGACTTCTTGACGCTGGTGTAAAGAATCACACAGGCTGGTGGGAGGAAGCCAACTTGGAAACACCGTGGAGCGAAACTCCCTCTCGTTGAGGACTGAACTGGCCCGGCGGTCGGTGGCTCTGGACGCAGGCGGACGGCGGCTATACACACACCGGTCTGTAATGAACCACTGCGGCCTAATTTCACACCAACCCTCTGTCCCGTGAGCTACCTGGAAGTTTAAACTTCGCCTTAAACTTTCGGCGGGTCTCCTCAGTCTCAACTCGTTAAGTCGTTTGTGTGGCTGGCCTGTAAACCCGACGCGTCGCTCCCCACATGTTTCTGCCTTGTTCCTGCTAGTTTCCAAAACAACCAGGTGAGCAGGCCGTCTGGCTTCCCCGGGGACCTGCGCAGGTAGCGGCGTTAGTTTACCTGCACGCACACGGTGACGCACGGATCTCTCTGACGCTCCCCTTTCGCCCTTCGGCTCTCTCGTAGCCGCCGGAGAACAGCACCGGGGAGCCGCCGAGCACCAGGACGGTTATGGAGCTACCAGGAGGGAGCGAGAGCCGGCGGAGGGACGGCAGGAGGAACCCCGCGGTGATTAACAGGAGAAAACCACCAGTGGAAACCATGTACGCCGTTGGTATTATCTGCCTCCAAGGTTGGTAACAAGACAATGTACACCTCTAACACACAATACACACACATGTCCATTGATTTACACTAATTCTGTGAAACAAAAGATAATAACACTCACTGTAGAGCACTCCGACATTGACCTCCACGCTTTTTTCTTAAGGATGTAATGCTGCTGGTTCAAGTTAGTTTTGTCTTTAACTGTGAGAGACCTAACAGAATTGTTACAGAGAAGCAAAGTCGCAGTTACAGCTGTCTTTCTCATTTATTACTCCACAAAATCTTCTTGTTTTAAGTTAAAATTTGAAGAGTTTAAACTACATTTTCAGTGGGGGGGGGGGGGTCAGTGGAGAAAAGGAGCACCCCTCCCCCATTGAGGGGAAATAAATTCAGGCTTCTGCAGCCAAAATAGCAGATTATTTAATCCATAGCATTTAGTAAAGTTTTACTAGAAATGTGAAATGTATACACAACAATTGTTTAGACATTACTGTAGTTCCACAGTGATTAAATGTGATGCTCTGGAGCAGGATAGTAGGTTTCCATGTATCACTGAAGGCAGCCTTGCCATGTCATTATGTATTCCCAGGAGTATTCTTCCACCCTCACACAACACATTGGATACGCCATTTCTGATTATCATATTCATATTGCATGTTTGAACTGTCTCTGAGCCCTAGCGTGCCATGCTTTCATGGATGCCATTCATATGCACGGGTGGAGAGCAGTTGCCGTGCTTCTGCCTGAGTGTCACCCCAAAAGAGAGGAGCTGGAAAAAGGAAAAATTAACATGACGCAAAAAGCCCCCCCACGTTGTCAAAGCCTGTTAAAGTTCATAACCTCTGCTGCAGAGTGAGAGAAAGCCATGAAAAGATCCTTCCTAGTCTGTGCGAGGAATGCTCTTATCCTGCCAAAGATCAGACTCATTAACTTGGCGCTCATCATGTCAAAACTGAGTCAGTTTTATCTGATCTCCACATGCAGACTGAAACGTAGATGAGCACAGATTGTGTTTGCCTTCAACACAGCCCTGATAGGCAGAGTGGCTGAAAAATTCCTTTAAGTTGAAGTGTCTGTCGCCCCCCTTCAGTCTCCTCATGGTGCCCACTTTGGGATGAATGTGTCCTCTGTGTGCCGGCAGCAGGGGAGACGGAGGCTGCTATGGGTTTGTGTTTATACGACTCATGAATAGAGCCAAGCCAGGTACTGTCATGACAGCCTCGCATTGTAGCCTGCTTTAGAAACGTCCTATTTTTAAAGGGGCTTTCTGAATGTGTTGAAGCACTGCAAAGTCCAGAAATGGCGGCCAACGAGACAATGTTTTCGGAGTGGCTTTTCTTACCACATGAAGCCGTCCACACCAAACACACCATGTTTCTAGAGGGTTGTCTGATCTGCAGGATCTGGGTGCTGTGGTCAAATATTTACCCAGATCTTTTTTATTTTTTTATTTATAGTATACAGTAATCGCTCTGGTATGCTATTTGCTTTTCTCTATCTTGATCTGGTTTCTATTTGTAGCTGACCAGCGCCTTGCCCCTGCAGCATCTCTGAGTACATGAAAGCTACTCATCGAGTTAATGTCCATAATGGTAATGCAGCATCTCTCCCATCCTCCAACCTTCCTCCTCGCCTCGCGGTGTGTTTTTCATTCCCTTTCCCCCTGCTGCTTCATCAAGGCAATCACATTCCTGGAGTATCTATGTGAAGAAGTGACTGGGTTCACTGCCAAGGAGCTGAGATAGATGTGAAATGTTTAAGTAACATCCTCACACACTCGTCTCTTCTCAGACCCTCCTCTTTGATCTGGCTCCCTCATGGTGGAGCTGGAGAAGATCTGCATTTTCAGCTCTCCTGGCGCATTAATAATTTGGATGCCTCTGCAAAAAATAGTATTCACCTCATGGTAATTTAGAGGGGTGCAATCAAATTTCAGTCCAGACTTTATTGACTTTGTGTATCTTCCATAACCTGCTGTACAGCAAGACACCGTTACCAAACTGCAGGAGTCGCAAACCACAGTATGTGTTATTGGGTTTGTGTAATGGATTTGTTGTTTGCTCAACAAATGGATGGTGTTTTGCCCAGAAATGTAAGAGATACAGGAAGTATTGTGCAGAAGCTCTCCTGT